TTCTTGTATATGGCATAAGGAGGTGGTCCAGTTTCATTTTTTTGCATGTGTCAGTCCAATTTCCCCAGTACATTTATTAAATAGACTATCTTTACCCCAATGTAGATGCTTCCTTCCATTATCATAGCTTAAATGACCATATATGAATGAATTTATTTCTGGGCCCTCTATTCTGTTCCATTGATCTATGTATCTGTTTTTATACCAGTACCATACTGTTTTGCTTACTGTAGACTTGTAGTACGATTTGATGTCGGGTAGTGTGATACCACTTACTTTGTTCTTATTTTGCAGGATTGCGACTACTGAAAAGTCAACCTGGCCTGAGATTTGTACAAGCACGCCATAGCCAAGGCAGGCTTAAATTCCTGCGGCCAGAGGAGATCTGAATCAAAGTTGAGTTAAACGCTTACTTTCTTTCTTGTTACTAACATGGGAAACACTGAAAGCCAAAACAGACCTTATATTTGTCTGTTCAAACAGCTTCTTAAAGCTGGGGGAGCTCAAATTTCAGATCAGAGATTGGAAGAACTTTTAAGGGTAATTGAAACTTATTGTTCCTGGTCCCCTAATTTAGGAATAGTAGACTTGAAAGCATGGGAGGAAATCGGTGATGAACTCAGTAAAGTACATTACTCAGGCGTTGCTCTCTCGGCAACAATTTGGATTACTTGGCGGAAAGTTCTGTCAGTTTTAGAGCCTTTACAAATAGACACGGAGGATGGGAGGGACGAGAGTGAGGAGGAAGGCTATAGTTTACCTTCGCTCCATCCGCCTCCGCCGCCATCAGCTACGGCACGGGAGAGGGGACATTCCAGGCCGCAGGAGGAAAATGTTAATCCTTTCCTCCCCGCTGCTCGACCCCCTCCCCCTCCTAGGAGAGATTCACAGATGCAGCTTTCCGCAGTAGAAAGAGGCATCCGGCAGGCGCGTCTGGAGGGAGACTTGGAAGCTTTAGCGTTTCCTGTTATATTTCATGAGCGTGTTGCTCCTGGTACAGATCCTCAAAACCCAAATGGAGTTTATGAATCTCAGTATGAGGCTTTTCCTTTTAAGATATTAAAAGAATTAAAACTTGCTGTAACTCAGTATGGTCCTACTTCGCCATTCACCCTAGGCATAATCTGTAATTTGGCTGATGGAAATCGTTTAATTCCTATAGATTGGCATATAATGGCTCAGACATGCCTCTTGCCGGCTCAGTTTTTACAATTTAAAACTTGGTGGATTGATGGAGCAGAGATCCAGAGTAGGTACAACCAGTCCCATAACATTGCTATTTCTCACGATCAGCTCTTAGGGACGAGTAACCGGGAAAGCACCCGGAATCAGCTAGTTATGGATGATCAGGCTATAGCTCAATTAAAAAGGATTTGCTTAATTGCATGGGAAAAAATAGAAACAGATGGTCAGGCTCCTAAGTCTTTTAAAAAAATACTGCAAGGTCCAACGGAACCATATACAGAGTTTGTAGCCTGCTTGCAAGATGCAATAAGGAAGCAGATAACTAATTTGCAAGCAGCTGAAATCATTCAACAAATCCTTGCCTTTGATAATGCAAATAATGACTGTAAAAAGGCTACTGGGCCTATGAAAGGAAAGACTGATATATCAGGTTGTATGATAGACAAAAAGGATAAAAGGATTAAGAATTTTAACTGGAATACATGAAAAAGAATCAAATGGATATTCTAAAACTGAAAAATATATTGTCTGAAATTAAGAACTCATCTGAGGTATTTAACAGTAGACTGGACAAAGCATAAAACAGAATCAATAAACTTGAAGACAATCAATAAAAAATATCCAAACGAGCACAGAGTTAAATAAAACATGACAGAACAAAAAGAGCATATAGGACAAAAAAACGAAAAAGGAAAAAAAAACACCTAACATATTTATGATTGGAGTCCCAGAAGAAGGATAAATTGGGTAGAAGCAATATTTGAAAATGACTGAGGATTTTCTAAAACTGATGGAAAATATCAATCAACAGATTAAGTAAGCCCAGTGACTAGAACAGGATTTTTTTTTAATCAGCCTCTATTTAACAGGTTTGCAGGGAAACGACATTCTAAGTAGACAACCAGGTTTTATTTAGGACAGGTAGGTAAAGTTCAGAAGAGGTTAACTGTACAGGAAAATCTGTGATGAAAGATTATGTACTTCAAAGCTTGTAGAAGATGGGTTTTAGAAGAGTGTGAGGCCTGGCAAATTGGGTCAGTTGAACAGATAGATGTACAGGGATATGAGGCACAGTGGGGTTCATCCTCATAGTCTCTTAGGGGAAGCGGGTAGTCAAGTGAAGGTGAGTGTGTGAGGCCCTAGAAGACTGCTCTCTCGCACTGGCTGGTAATGTGGGTGAAGAGCTCCTTAAGAGCATATCATCTTAGGCAATGGGGAGTACTTCTGAGGGCCTCTTTTCTCTGGGGGCCGAGCAATACAGGCTGTGAAGCTGGTGAAGAACTGCTCGCATTCCAAAGAACCAGGGATGCCCCTGGCAGCTTTGTAGTGTTATAGCAAGTGGAGAGCAAGGTGAAGAGAAGCTATCACTTCCCTGGTGTTCCCTGACGTTGAACTCAAGTCCACTTCTGTTACCTGCTCCATGACCAACCTGAACTGAGTCATTACTCAGAATGGCTCTATCCTGAATCTTAAATACAAACATTTCACTTTCTAACCTCTACCTCCTAGTTTTACAGCTCCCTCACTCAATTACTCCCTCTACCCCTTCACTCACCCCTTAGGTTTCTACCAACATATCAGGATCATGTCTTGTTCTCATTTCCCACCCAGTCCTTAGAATTCTTGGCCCAACACTTCAGGCACTCTCAAAAATGTAGCTCCCCCACCATTGCCTCCCATCTATATGACTAGAAAACTCCTAACTTGCATGAAGTCAACTCTTATTTCTGTACAGACATGAGGCTTATTACTGAGTGGTACTTGCGAAAATCACACATTTGGGAAGATGAGTACCATTCTCTCTACGTATTTTCAAATATAATTATATAGAGGTAAAACATAAAGGAAACTCATCTTAAAAAATTAAAACGGGGGGGCCGGCCAAGTAGCTCAGTTGGTTAAGAGTTGGCTTAAGAGCGCGAGCTCTGAGCAACAGGGCTGCCGGTTCGATTCCCACATGGGCCAGTGACGCTGCACCTGAGCTGAGCTGTCGCTGAGCTGCCAACAGGTGGCAGGATGGCTCAGCTGGTGTAACAACAAGATTGCCTATTCGATGGTGGGCTACACCCACCCACAATTAAGACTGAACTCGGTACCTTGAGCTGAGCTGCCACCCGGATGGGATGGCTCAGTGGATAGAGCATGCGCTCTTAACAACAAGGCTACTGGTTTGACTCCCGCATGGGATGGTGGCTACGCCCACCCACAACTAAGATTGTAACACAGCACCTTGAGCTTAGAGGCCATGAGCTGCCAACTGGCAGCCAGGTGGCAACTGGCGCCCTCCACAACGAAGACTGAAGAACAACAACTTGGCTGGTCCCCTTCTCCAATTCCCTAACACTGTTCCCCTCCCCCAGCTCCCCAATAAAATCTTTTAAAAAAAAATAAAACAATACAGATGTATACAGAGCAAAAAATTAGGGTTCTCTTCTAAGACCTTCCCCAAAACATTTGCTGTTAATAGTTTGGCATATGCTCTATGCATGTATTGTCTTAAATATAGATAGCTACACACACACACACACACACACACACACACACACACATATATATAAATATACATACGTATGTGAAATCAGATAGGTACCCATATTGAATAATAGTAGATACTTTGTTGGGCAATTTGCATTTTTATCTTTTTTATTTAATTTGTCTTAGAGAGTTTTTCTTCTCAAAAGGTACAGATATACTTAATTCTACATAGTATCTCGTTCTCTTATTAACATCTAGGTTGTTTACCATTTTCACTATGTAACAATTATAATGAATATCCTTGCACATCCTTCTGTGTGAGCACATATGCAAGTACTGTACATCTCCAAAGTGGATCCCTATAAGTGGAAATGCTTGGTCAAAGCGTAGACATATTTAACATTTTAATAAATACTTCTAAATTACCATCCCAAAAGGAGGAGCGCTGTACCAAACTGGACTCCCAACTGCAGAGGAGAGTTGCTACCCCAGCTAGGCTCGCCTCTTTCCTTCCCTAGACTTGTCTCTCCTTCACTCTCCACATAACTTATCTCTGCTCAAAACCCCTCTGCACCCCCCATCCCCACCCAAACATACACATTCTTGGCAAAAATCTCACCAAATATTTGTAGAGAAAATAAAAGTCGCCAGAGAACTTTCTTGGCTTCCTACCCCCAAACCTACAAAACCGGCCCACCCCTAGCTTGTCCTCCGTCCTCCTGTTATAATGGTGGGGGAAAGGGGCAGTCCTTCACCGTTTAAGGCAATACTAGTTGTGGGGTCCTACCTTCCCTCTAAAGGTCTCAGCTTCCCCTCTCTCCTCAGCTAAGCTCAATCAATCTTCTGCTTTCATTGTTCCATTGAAACCCCAGGCTCACCCACCTTGCGCCAAATCCATTACGCCCCCTCAGGTCCTTATCTTAGGTGACACTATTACCCGCTCTCTTCATAGACACACACTCTCCTGATTTCCCTCCTCTGTCTCTAGGGCACTGCTTTCTCACGCCTCCTCTTGTCCTCAGGTTCCTCTTCTCAGGCTCCTCTTGTCCAAGTCTTAAACGTTGGAGTTTGCGGTTTCTGCTCCCGGGCCCTGAACTCTTTCTTCCTGGAAGACGTCACTCCCTTCCCCTCTTTCAGCCACCACCACCACCCGTCTGTTTTCTCCTCTCCTATCTCTATCTTCAGCCCAGACTGCCGACTCGTCCGAGGCTGACATCATCCTCTCTCCTTCCGCTCGTCCGTCCCTCCACTCCCTCTCCCCAACAAGCCCTAGCCCCTCCGCTGGGAAATCCCTTCCGATTCCTCCCTCTCCTAAGTCCGCCGCCAAATGGCTCCAGTACCTCGCAGACCTGAGGAATGTAGTTCTCCCCGAAATAGTTTCTCAGCTTGGGGCTGGCACTGCGTAGCGAGGCCATGGCAAGAGGTCCCACTTTAACTGCGCTCCGGGCCTGCTCTCCACTCCCGGCTCAGCCAGGGCGCAGCCAGGACTCCGGGCTGGCGCGTCCCGGTGTTGCCCCGGCAACCGCGGGGCGGGGCGGGGAGGGGCGGGGCGCACAGTAGCCCAGCGCCCCCACGCCGGCGGAGCCTGGAGAATGGCGGCCCTGCGGCCCCAGCGGAGTGGGCTTGGGAGGAAGTGCGGGGAAGCCCGCCTCCCGGCGGTTCAGTTCCTGTGTGTCCCCTCGGGGAGCGCAGTGTGTGTGCAGCTCTTCACGGAGTCCGGCTCTCCTCTGCAGGCCCCTCGCCCCACCTGGGGGGAGCCGCCGGCGCGGGTCGGGGCCAGAGTGGGCGGTTTTCAGTCTTAGCAGGGCTGTTTCCGGGAGGCGGAGCTCAGACTCCCATTTCCTTTCTCCTGGGGCTGGCGGGCTCCATCCAGCTCGGGCGGCGGCTGTTCCCGCTGGCCTCGGAGACCCCCGCACCGGCCTACACGAGCCTCCGGCTCCAGGCCCCACGCTGCGCCCAGGCCCCAGCGGCAGCATGGGCGGCGCCCGGGAGGCGGGCTGGGTGGCGGCGGGCCTGGTCCTCGGGGCCGGTGCCTGCTACTGCATTTACAGGCTGATGCGGGGCCAGCGGCGAGGCGGCCACCGGCTTCGGCTCCGTCCATCGCAATCTGCAGGTGAGGACGCGGGGTGTTCAGCAGGTGGGCGGGGACAGGGGGACCCCAGGGGTGGGGGTCGAAGACGCCACAGGCGCTCGTGGCTTGCCTGTGTTCTGAGTGAAACAAGGAGCCGAGCCCGAGGAGGAAGGGAGGTCCAGGTATAGCGGGCCGCTTGTCCACTTGATTGGGTGGGTGTGGGGTTCTGAGCCGCTTCCCTGCCTCCACTTCTTTGTTCAAAGTTCTGGGATAACAAAATTGACCAGACTTTCCTACCTGAGTCCGGCGTCACAGCTGAGGATTAGGTTTCTCAAAAGCGGTTGATTGCCTCTCACGTTAAAGCTTGCTCCCGACCTTCGTGTTACCAAAGGGATTCCCTGGCTGTGGACCGGGTGTGGTGGGGCCTGGAGCAGTAGATGAAATTCTCCGTGCAGTTACCTTGGAAGGAAGGACGTCAGAGGGGCAGTTCTGCCTAGACTCTGCCCAGCCTCTGAGAGGGGAGGTACCTTGAAGTCACCAAGGTCCATGTATATATACTAAGTTGCAGAGAGATGCTGGAGATAGAGGTAGATACAGCTATTTCAAAATGGAACAGTTGTCTGCATAGGGGACACCTCCTGGCGGACAAGTACAGGATTAGGTTTCTCTGCCCAGAAGTTGATAGGTGCATTCAGGATTCAAACAATTCGTTGAATGTTCGGGATGTATATTTCAGGTCATGGAAGTTGTTAGGGAAATAAATAAAAATAAAATCTCCTGCCAACTAAGAAACTCCTCTCTACAGATGTACAAAAGAACTAAATAGCTTTATTATGGAATGAGCATTAAACCAGATTGCTACACCCATCACAGGCAATCGGGTAACAGGATTGTAAACACAGAGTTCTCACCCCTTTATGTGCCCAGGCGGATGTAACCTATTTCATCCTACATGTTCTCAAGGTAAACTTGTCCTTAAGAGGACTTGACAGCACCATTCACTATACACATAGTTCACCTTAAGTTCACTGTTAGTTGGGATGGCTATTTATGTTAGCTAATTGCCCTTATCCAGAGGGAAAATAAGACTTCTCAGTATCTCTATGATAAACAGGTGGTTATAACATGGAGCCAGATGCCAAGTCTAAACTCAGAGACAAGGAGATAGCTCGATCTTCCTTAATATTTCAAGCAAATGATCCCAAAGCCCCTAAGAAAGACTTCCTTGGGTTGAGGCTTATTTAAGTTTTAAAAAGATGTATTGGGTTGTCGAAAAAGTCATGACACATTTTTGCAACGAAAAACATAGAGAAAAAATGTCATGACTTTTCCGACAACCCAATATATTTAGGGCTGGCCAAGTGGCTGGCTCAGTTGGTTAAGAGCACGAGGTCTGAGCAACAGGGTCGCCGGTTTGATTCCCACATGGGCCAGTGAGCTGTGCCCAAGCTGAGCTGCTGCTGAGCTGCCAACAGGTGGCAGGATGGCTCAGCTGGTGAGAGCACGTGCTCCTGACAAGGTTGCCGGTTAGACTCCCACATGGGATGATGGGCTACACCCACCCGCAACTAAGCTTGAACACAGCACCTTGAGCTGAGCAGCCATGAGCTGCTAATGGATGGCCAGATGGCAACTGGACTTGGAGCTGAGCTAGCTGCGCCCTCCACAACTAAGATTGAAGGACAACAACTTGGCTGTTCCCCTTCCCCAATTTCCCAACACTGTTCCCCTCCCCCAATTCACCAATAAAATCTTTTTTAAAAAATGTATATTTATATCAAAGAGACAGACAAAGGAATTACAATTACAAGTTTGCTCAAGGAAATGCTCCAAGGGAGTGGGGGTTCGGTTCTTTCCCTTTTGGGACAAGGGAAAAATCCTTTTTTTTTTTTTTTTTAAGATTTGCATTTACCCTTACTTACAAAGCCTAATTTGTTGTCTTTATTTCAGAGAATGTTTCTGTATAAGTAAGCAAGCGGTCAGGTGGCCTGAACTCAGATACCTTCTCACTTATACTGAAAAAGACAGAAAAATGTTGCATTTGATTTTACCAGTTCCTCACATCACCAATACCTTAGGTCATGCAGCTTACAGATTAAGTTGCTCACAGTCCCTTCTTCCTGAAGCTACACCTTTATCTTTGGAAAAGATTGATAAGTAACTCATTTTGTCAGAATCATTCTGGATTTCAGAGGATGATCTTTTTTTAGATTGAGATATAATTGATATAACATTCTTTCGTTTTAGGTGAACAAGATAATGATTTGATATATGTATATATTGCAAAATGATCACCACAATAAGTTTAATTGGCATCCATTACCACACACAGTTTTTTTCTTGTGCCCAGAATTTTTAAGTTACATTCTCTTAGCAGCTTTCAACTATGTAATACAGTATTGTTAACTGTAGTCACACCAAGCTGTACATTACATCCCCAAGACTTATCTTATAACCTGAAGCTTGTACCTTTTGATCACCTTCACCCTTTTTATGTACATGGAGCCATACCACCCTCCCAACCCCCACCACCAATACCAATCAACAATCTATTCTCTGTATCTGAGTGGTTTTTTGTTTGTTTGTTTTTAGATTCTACGAATAAGGGAAATCATACGGTATTTGTCTAGCTTATTTCACTTAGCATAATACCCTCAAGGTCCACCCATGTTGTGTCACATATAACAAGATATCCTTTTTTATGACTGAAATATATATATATATATAAATATAAACTTTTTCTTTATCCATTCATCCAATGATGAACATAGATTGTTTCCTTATCTTGGCTATTGTAAATAATGAGCATGGGGGTGCAGATATCTTTTTGAGATAGTGATTTTGTTTTCTTCAGATAACACCCAGAAGTAAAATTGCTAGATCATATATGGTAGTTCTATTTTTAATTTTTTGAGGAATCTTCATTGTTTTCCATAGTGTCTGTACCAATTTACATTCCACCAACAGTGCACAAGAGTTCCCTTTTTTCTACATCCTCATGAACACTCATTATCTCATGTCTTATTGATGATAGACATTCTGACAAGTGGGAGGTGATAATAGCTCATTGTGCTTTTGATTTGCATTTCCCTGATGCTTAGTGACGTTCAGCACTTTTTCATATATCTGTTGGTCACATTTCTGTCTTTGGAAAAATGTCTATTTGGATCCTCGGCCCATTTTTTAATCAGATTGTTTGAGTTCTTTCTGTATTTTAAATATTAACCCCTTATCAGATACATGATTTGCAAATATTTTCTCAGAAGTTTTTTAGGTTGATGTAATTCCACTTATTTCGCTTTTGTTGTCAAGTCCAAAATATCATACCAAGACCTATGTTAAGGAGCTTACCACCTACGTTTCTACTAGGAGTTATATGGCTTCAGGTCTTATGTTCAAGACTTCAATCCATTATGAGTTTATTTTTGTTTATGGTTTAAGATAGTGGTCCAGTTTCAATCTTTTGCATGTGGCTAATTTTCCCAACATCATTTATTGAAGAGGCTTTCCTTTCCCCATTGTATATTTTTCGCTCCTTGGTCGTAAATTAATTGACCAGATGTGTGGGTTTATTTCTGGGTTTTCAATTCTGTTCCATTAATCTGTGCCTCTGTTTTACGCCAATACCATACTGTTTTGATTTCTGTAGCTTTGTAGTTTATTTTGAAATCAGGACGTGTGATGCAACCAGCTTTGTTCTTCTTTGTCAAGATTGATTTGGCTACTTGACATCTTTTGTGGTTCCATACAAATTTTAGAATAGTTTGTTCTATTTCTATGAAAAAGTGCCATTGGAATTTTGATAGGGATTACATTGAATCTGTAGATTGCTTTGGTGATGTGGACATTTTAGTAATATTAATTCTTCCAATTTATGAGCATGAAATATCGTTCCATTTACTAGTGTCATCTTCATTTTCTTTCTTGAGTGTCTTATAGTTTGCACTATACAAGTCTTTCACCTCCTTAATTAAATTGATTCATAGGTATTCTTTTTGATGCATCTGTAAATAGGATTTTCTTAATTTCTTTCTGATAATTTATTAATGTATAGAAATGCAGTTGGTTTTTTTATATTGATTTTTGTATCCTAACAGTTTTTTGGTGGAGTTGTTAGGGTTTTCGGTATACAATATCATGTTATCTGTGAGTTTTTCTTTTTTTCTGATCTGGATGCTTTTATTTCCTTTTCTTGCCTAATTGCCCTGGCTAGGACTTCCAGTACTACATTGAATGAAAGTAGCAAGACTGGGTATCTTTGTCTTGTTCATGAACTTAGAGGAAAAGCTTTTGGTTTTTCACCATTGAGTATGGCTTGTCATAGCTGGACTTTATTACATTGAGGCACATTCCCTTTATACTCACTGTGTTGAGAGTTTTTCTCATGAATGGATGTTGAGTACTGTCAACTGCTTTTTCTACACCTAGTGAGATGATCATGATTTTTGTCTTTCATCTCTTACTATGGTGTATCACATTGATTTGAGGATGTTGAACCACCTTTGCATCTCAAGGATAAATCCCACTTGATCATGGTGTATGATCCTTTCAGTGTATTGTTTGCTATATTTTGTTGAGATTTTTGCATCTATGCTTATCAGGGATGTTAGCCTATCATTTTCTTCTCTTATGTCTGGTTTTGGTATCAGGGTGATGCTGGCTTCATAAAATGAGTTTGGAAGAGTTTCCCCCCTTTTAGTCTCTGTTTCATTTATTTCTGCTCTAGTCTTTATCTCCTCCCTTGTACTAATTTAGGCTCCCATTGTATGTTAAATTGAAGCCTGCTCCTCAGGCCACAGCTATTTAGATGAGCAAATAGACCTCTTTCAGGGAAAAGCTGGTATCAGTGCACTGCCTCTGCTGGGCCCTGCGGTGTTAGCCATAGTGGGTCTGCTCCAGCCATTAATAACTGTCTCTTAATTCGCGATAGCCTTGTGGGTCTTGTGGACACATACCTCATTGGCTTTCAAAGCTAGATGTTTTGGGGGCCCATTTCTCGGGTGGTAGTCTTAAAAATTGGGGCACAGGATGTAGTATCCAAACCCTTCACTCCTCTGGGGAAAACTGGGAGTTGTAAATTCCTTCCCAATTGTGTATCACTGCAGCAAGGGTGGGGGTTATGGTGAGATTGTCTCTCAGCCTCTTTACCTGTTTCAGTGTGGTTTTTTTCTCATTTGCCCAATGGTGTAGGAGTCACTCAGTTTCTGGATTTATTTCAGAGGGAGTTGTCCCCTCATGTAGCTGTAGATTCGGTGTGTCTGTGGGAGGAGGTGAATTCAGTATCTTCCTACATCCCCACCTTGAACCAGAACTGGATGATCTTTTCTTTGCCTTAAAGTTTAAGAAATTTGTAATTCCTATACTGTTAAGACTGTTTGAGAGCATTGAAAAATATAAGGACACAGTTGCAATTCATTCACCAACCTAATAGCAAAACCTGACAAGGATAGATAGCACAAAAAGACTATAAGTCTTTCTCAATTATGAACAAAGATGTAAAAATCTTAAATATTAACAAATCAAATCCATCCGGGGATGAAAGTAATAATATACCAAGGCCAAATGGACATATAAGGAGGATTTATATTGGGAAATATATTAATGTAATTTATTGCATTATTAGATTAAAAGCAAAAACATGATAACTTCATAATAAAACATTTGAATGTTATCATTTCTGACAAAAACTTGCAGCAAGTTAGGAATAAATAGAAGGAAATGTTCTTAAGTTGATAAAGAGCATCCATCAAAAAGCAAACATATTTAATGGTGAAACACGAGTAGAATCTTAACTAAATTCAAGAACAAGAGAAGGGTGCCTGCCGTGACAGCTACTCTTCACCATTATCCTGGAGTCATAGCTAGCTTGATAAGACAAGGAAAAATGCATAAATATTGGAAAGGAGATAAATTTATAATTAGTAGGTGACAGGTGACATAATGATTTATTTGGAAAAATCCAAGAGAACTGAATAACTTTTAGAAGCAATAAGAGTTTAATAAAGTAACGCGAATGCAAGATAAATATACCCAAATCAATAGTTTTTTGTATATAAGCAATAACAAATTCAGAAATTTGAAAAGATCTCATTCATGATAGCTATAAAAAATTTAAGAATACATCTAGCAAGAAGCCTTTATGAAGACAATTTTAATAAAGGACATGAGACTATCATAAACAGGAAAGCATATTGTGTTCTTGGTTGGAATGATGCTGTACTATGACAATTATCTTGAAATTAATCTGTTATTATTTGGTAGTCACTTTTCATTTCCTTTGAGAGGTGTAATTTCTCCTCAGTTTACTTGAGATGGTGAACCACAGAACCTAAAATTCTTTCACAGTCTTATTGGTACAAAGCTAAGTGGAGAACTAGGACACACGTGTTTGCCTCACTTGTGTAATAGTTCAAAAATTCACCAGTGGAAAAGGTGGGTATTAGGTGATCACCATCCTCTGAAGCAGCAGTTCTCAACCTTCCTAATGCCGCGACCCCTTAATACAGTTCCTCATGTTGTGGTGACCCCCAGCCATCAAATTATTTTCGTTGCTACTCTATAACTGTAATTTTGCTACTGTTATGTAAATATCTTTTTGTTTTCCGATGGTCTTAGGCGACCCCTGTGAAAGGGTCGTTCGACCCCCAAAGGGGTCGTGACCCACAGGTTGAGAACCGCTGCAACGTGTTGAAGAGTTTTAGGTTTATTTCTTTTCTGAAAACGTAATGTGTGGTTTTTATTAAAAATTCAAGCAGAGAAGTTAAGATTTATTGACAAAATTTAAATGAGGCTCATCATTTTAATAGATTAAGAGTGGTCTTGTAGGGAGAAGAGTAATAGATTGGGAGTGAAAATGTCTGGATTCTAAAGCCAGTTTTGTTATTAACCAGCTGTGTGTCCTCTTAATAAAAAAAATAATGAAAATATTCAAGGCCTTCACAATATTCTAGGCACAAAAATTCTTTGAGGCAGACACTATTAATTCCCATTTAATTGATGAAGAAACTGAGGCTTAGAGAGGTTAAGTGTCAGCTTTGGTTAAGTAGCTTGGCTAGAATTAGAGCTAGACAGTCTGTCACCTTAGGGCTGGCTTATTTTAAACAAACACATTGCACTTCCTCCCTTCAAGTGAAAAGTCTGTGATTTAACATTTTTCCCTATAAAATTTTGACTATTTATAATTTACATGTCTATAAAATTTTTTTTAATGGCTTTGTGGAAAAATGTATAAGGAAGTAATAGGATTTTGAAATGTCTTAGAAGTATGGATAAGTTAAATTTATCATATTTCTGCCATATGTTTATGTAGAAAATCACACAACTTCAGAGTTGTGTAGGAACGTTTAGAACCAGTTATAGTCTTAGATCAACCCTTTTATTTTACAGATGAGAAAACAGAGACCCAAAAAGAGGTTAGTGACTTGGCTACAGCTTTGTGTTTTCATTTCTGTGGTCTCTGCTACCAATTCCTGTGCGACTTTAGGCAAATCTTTAAGTGAATCTGGCTTCAGTTTCCTGGTGTGTAAAATGAGAGGTTTGGATGAACCCCAGCATTCTTTCCATTCTAAACATCTGTGTTTTTGTCCTTCTTTGGTTTATCTTTTCAAGTATTCTTTAGGTGAAACCCTGTTTTATAAGGTGTAAATGAGGCAAGTAGTGGTTTCAGGGGCCCAGAGATCCTGATTATAAGACTTGGGAGTGAGAATCTGCTGACTGTTTAGCTTTTAGATTTTCCTGACAGTTGATTTTTTATTTGGCTTCTTTGGGACATCATATCACATATCTGTTCCCATAATCTATACTTAACCTTTTCCTTCATATTTTTTTCTGATTCTTCTTTAAGCAGTATTCATAATTATTTTAATTATAGCAATAATACACGTTTATTGTTTGAAAAATTCAGAAAGTACTCATTAGCATAGGGTATAAAATAAAAGTTACTTCTTATGCCAGCACCCAAAGATCGCCACTTATAATAATTGGGTATATATTTTTAAAAAGAAAAAGTACAGATGTGACATCATACAGTACCTATCATTGTATAACCTTCTGCTGTCCACCTACCCGCCCCACACACCCAGCCATGTACTGTGAATACTGTCTGACCTATAATCATAGTTTTACTTTTAAGGAATCATGTTCTATGTTTATAACAGAAAAAGGGTTTCTGTTTTTCCTGTGGTGATTTCTGTAAAAAGGATTTTTTTTAAAGGTTAGAGCTATAAATTCTAAAAGTCACTGAGCAGACCCAGCATTTGACTATTATAACTTTTATTCAAAATAACAGCTTTTCTTTTGTCATCACCCCCGGCAAGACTATCATTCTAGCATCCCAGTCATCAATGCTTTATTCATATAAACCAAACAAAAATGCCATACCTGAAACACTCCCATAACTTTTCCTCTGCCTGAGATGCTTTTAAAATTGGGATCAGAGAAGTTTGTTTAATGTAAATCCTATTCCTATAGGCAAGTGTTTCATTGGATGGGTGTACCTGATTTTCAAAAGCAACAGAAAATGCAGTTGGCGTTAGGGGTATATGTTATTTGCATGCAGTGTCTTCCTGAAAGAAAATACCAAGTGACTAATTCCTTAATGTCTGTAAGCCTCAGGTTCCCATATGTAAATTGAGAAGTATAATAGTATCTTCTTCCTAGGGTTACTTGAGGATTAAATGAGATAAAGCATATAAAGTTCTTAACACTGTGCCTGGTATCAGAGTATGCATTCAATACTGTTTTAAAATTCTTTTAAATCTCATATTGATTTTAGGTGAACTTTAAATAATTTTCTTCTTATGCAGAAGACTTAACCAATGGTTCATATGATGATGTCCTAAATGCTGAACAACTTCAGAAACTCCTTTACCTGCTTGAGTCGACTGAGGATCCTGTAATTATCGAAAGAGCTCTGGTCACCCTGGGTAACAATGCAGCCTTTTCAGCTAACCAAGTAAGTACCCCGGTCTCAGCCGACAGGCTCCTCCTGCTCGCACACCAGCAGTGATTGTGACCTGCGGCAGTCACCTCCCAGAGCCTCAGTTTCCTCATCTCCACAATGTGGCTGCTTATACCTCACGAAGGTTTGTTTACTTCTGAAAAGTGAAGCCTAATAGTAATGTGACTATTAATAGGTTTCTAGATCCCTAGGAAGTTGGTCACAGATATCACATTCGTAATGCCTATATCTAATTAATACTTAGCATTGCATGGCCTTTTTAAGTACTTAAAATTGGGCAGAACAATGAAAGCATCTGACATTTAAGTGCATACTTTCCACTGATGTAGGGGGGCCCTGGACCACTCTGACAAGCACTAGCCAATGGAAACAGCTTCTACAAGTAGAGACTTAACACCAAGGCTAAAGAGCTTAATTTGAATGTTCTCTTCTCCCTGCCACCATGAGAAAGAGTAGAAAATTTTTTGCAATTATTTTCAGCTAATGCCCTTTGTTAACATTGTCATGAATGCAAAATTTTCAATTTATACTTTATTTCAGTCCAGTTTTCTCTGTATGGCAAGGTTTTCTGTAAAGCTGTAGAGATTTATAACAAAATATAAAGAATGTCTGTGTTTTGCTCACATTCTTTCAGTTGAAAGCGATAAATCCAGCTTAAATTATTTTAAACCAAAAAGGAAAAATATTGAGCTGTTAAGTTGGACATTCAAGAATAGCATTAGTTTCAGGCACAAGTGAATACAGTTCAAGGTTACAAAAAGTGTTATCAGAGCCCTCTCTTCCTCTGTCTTTTGGCTTTGCTTACCCCTGCTTCTTTTTGTGTATCTGCCCACAAAGAGGTCCCCTGAAATTACTGGGAGAGAAAGAAAGCCACTGGCCTCTCAAGCCTTCATCCCTGTAGCTCATAACCCAGAAGGTGGAGTTGCTGTGCTAGAATCAAGTGCCAATCCTTTGGATCAGTTGCTGAGGGAGGCACCGTGGACCACGATTAGCAAGGCCTGGCTCACAGGAGCATCCTGAGCCCAACGGCAGGGTGGATGTGAACACAGTGGACCAGCAGTCCCACAGGGATAGAGGAGGTGCCTGGCAAACAAAACAACAGATGATGACTACTTATTAGCATGCCTGTATTGGGGTCTTTTTGATGCCACAGTTTTATATCCCTCTGAAACAAACTGTACTCAAAGTGGGTCAGTAGCCACTGTGAATAAGTACTTTATTGGACAATGGGAGTTAGTGCCTTGATCTGCTTTACCAGTCCAGTGTAAAAAAAAAACAAAAACAAAAGCTGTTTTCTAGTAACCATGAGTCCTTGGGAAGAACCAGAACCTAGAGTTGCAGAGGGAAAGTTTTTCTTCTCTCAGTGCTATGCCCACCCTTAACAGAGTGGTGTATTGGGCTGTTGGTTAAAAAGTGAATGATGGCAAAATACTTTTTCTTCTATTCTGATAGAGCATCTAGTCTTAGCCTGACAGTAGTCATTTTCAGCTTATTTTTTTAATAAGAATTAAAGCAATTGATGTGTCTTTCAATGTTGGGGCCAAAGGTACATAGTAACATAGTATTGCAGTCGACTGAGAAATCTTCAGGTTATATTTACTTTGAAAATTTTGACACTGTTGTTCAAACTGTGGAACTCCAATTTTTCAAGATGTTTATAGGTGTTCCTTCTACTCCAGACACTGAAAAAAGACCCTCTTTTTGTGTACAGTTCATAGAAATACACTTGACTCTTGAACAACGCAGGAGTTGGGAATGCCAACCCCTGCACACTCAAATCCATGTATAATTTCTGACTCCCCAAAAACTTAACTACTAATAGCCTACTGTTGATGGAAGCCACACCAATAACATACAATCGATTAACACATACTTTGTGTGTTATATATGTACTGTATTCTTACAATTAAAGTAAGCTAAAGAAAAGAAAGTTAGTAAGGAAATTATAAGAGAATATACATTTATATTATTTATTGAAAAAAATCCACATATAAATGGACTCATGTAGTTCAAACCCATGTTGTTCAAGTGTTAGCTATACTATATTCAATACACCCCCTTGGAGATTCTCTGTGCACATGGGCATTAATGCATCACAATAAAGAAATATGTTTAATTTGTTATCCCCTAAGTTTCTCAACTTCACCATGAAATTTCCCTTTTTTTAAATGGAATGAATATCTGTTAACATCTCGAAGGATTAGTGTTCCAAAGAATACATTTTAGCAAACACTGCTTTAGTATTCTAAATCATAATACTTTTCCAAATTTGTATGTAATATAAAAGTCATATAACTAATCTCAAAGTAAAATAATTTTGTTTGTAAATTGTTTGAGATCATTATAATAATCCTGAAAATCTTTATTGTGTATTGCCATGCTATAGTTTAAATAATTACATATCTTAATTTTACTTTCTTTACCTATATTATGGATAGTAATGTTTTTTAAAGAATAGGAATTATAGATAGTATATAGGACAGGTATTTCCAAAGACTCATTTTTATTTGGATGCAAAGAATTCAATGAAGAGAGGTGCATATTGAAGTTATGGTCCTGTGTTTTCCCTTTAGGTCGTTATTCGTGAATTGGGTGGTATTCCAGTCGTTGGAAGCAAAATCAATGATCCCAACCACAGTATTAAAGAGAAAGCTTTAAATGCACTGAATAACCTTAGTGTGAATGTTGAAAATCAAATCAAGATAAAGGTAAGTTATCTAAAATCACAAATGTGTAACATCTATAAATGAAAGAGAAAATAAAAAAGTGATGAAATTTTAGTAGGCCATAACTTTATGGCCAAGAATTTCCTTAATTTTTTCCCAGCTTTGTTGAGATGTAAATGATATGTAACATTGTGTGAGTTTAAGGTAATGATTGGATACACATACTCGTATATATGGCAAAATTCACTAACACCTCCATCACCTCACATAATTACCACCTGTTTTTTCCCTGTGGTGAGAACATTTAAGATCTAGTCTTCTAGCAACTTTCAAGTATATAATACAGTATTATTAACTAGAGGTACCCTGGTGTACATTAGATCCCAGAACTTGCTCATCTTAATAACTTTAAATTTGTACCTTTGGACAAATATGGCTCCATTTCCCCCATCCCCCAGCCCCTGGCAATTAACCATATTACTCTGTTTGTATGAGTTTGGCTTTTTTAGATTCTCTATATAAATGAGATCATTGAGTATTTGTCTTTCTCTGTCTGACTTATTTCAGTTAGCATAATGTCCCCAAGGTCTATCCATGTTGTTGTAAATAGCAGGATTTCCTTCTTTTTTATGGTTGAATAATATCCCATTGTGTATATCACACCTTATCCATTCAACCATCCACAGACACTTAGGTTGATTCTCTGTCTTGGTTATTATGAGTAATGCTGCAGTGAACATGGGGGTGCAGATATCTCTTTGAGATAGTGATTTCATTGCCTTCAGATCTATATACCCAGAAATGGGGTTGCTGGAACATATGGTAGTTCTATTTTTAATTTCTTGAGGTACCTCCATACTATTTACCATAGTCACTATACCAATTTACATTCCCACCAATAGTGAATGAGGGTTCCTTTTTTCCACATCCTTGCCAACACTTGTTATCTCTTGTCTTTTTGATAATAGCCCTTCTAATGGGCATGAGATGATGTCTCATTGTGTTAGTGAATTGCATTTCCCTGAATAGTGATGTTGAGCATGCTTTCATGAAACTGTTGACCACTTCCATGTCTTCTTTGGAAAAACGTCTATTCATGTCCTCAGCCCATTTTTTATTGGAGAATAACACAGAGAAGAGAGGGACCTGAGCTAGCCAATAAAAGATGCAGTGAACTTTTTTGAATTTGGGGTTCAGTTGAATCCAAATGTGATAAAGGAAACAGGCCAGAGTCAGATAATATCAACAGAAAGATACAATAAATTAGGAAATTATGTTAATTCAGCATTTATTGAGTTCCTGCTCTGTGGTACAGAGTTTAGAAATGAACATGATTAACTTTTTTTAAGAAAGCTAGAAGGAGAAATAAGGCAAGTCCGTAAGTAGTTATAATTCAAGGCAGAGCATGATGAAGTACTTTAAGGAAAAATATAAGTGAAACATTCTTGAGTATATAGAAAGGGGACATCGCATCCAGAAGTGCTGGTAACAGGTAGCGTGTGACCTGGCTCTTAAGAATGTCGAAGGTTTCTATAGGTAGAGTGGGGAGGAGGGAATTCCAAGAGAAGGAACCGGGTGAGGTAGACCCATCTCCAGGAATAACTCAGCTGGCCCATTTGGTAACCTTGCTGCTTGAATTGAAATGGTGAAAAAATTCAGAGATAATAGGGATGTAAATGCTCAACACATTTTAGGAAATGCTTTGAAAGACAACAGAAATCTTATGAAAATACATGATTTATAAAGAGTTAAGGAAATGCTGTTTTTTTAAAAGGATACACGTGTCATAAAATAGTGACCAGAGAGAACCAGTTGACTTGTAACTATCATTTAGATCTTGAAACCAGATTAAATATTTAATCTTTCTTTGCTTTACTGCCATTACTTTTCTTATTATGGTAACATGGATCATTTGGATATTTTTTAAGAGTTAATACTGGCTGGTCCCCACTGCGACCTGAGGAGGTGGTGCCATGGCCGGGACCATGACCCCTGGTCCCCTCACCCTGGACCACTATGCCTCTCATCCCTGGGATGGTGACCCCCACCTCCCTCACCACAGTACAGCGTCCTCTGCCCTTCAGGACATGACTCCCATCATCCTGACTCCGGGACTGTGACACCGCTCACCCCCAGCAGGGCTACCCTGTCCTGCATCACTCCACTTTTTTTCCAAATAAAAATTATATTTAAGGTGAAAAAAAAAATATTGGCTAATGAAACAATCTATAATTTCTTAGCATTTTGTTTGTATTAGGAAATTTTTCTTACCTGTTAGAACTTTTGGTGGAGTTCAGATTTAGTTAGGTGAATACCAATTATCTGCAAGACAATTTTTCCAAGGTGGAAAGATTGTGGCCGTAGAAAATAAGTTTCAGAAAACTGTCCATCGTACTGGGTTTAGTTCTCTCATGTGTAAATAGTATTGCCTGCATTGTGTTACTTTTTGCCAGTGGTGGTTAATACCAAGTGTGCCCAAAAATGCATATAAGCAGAGACTTCGGTCACTGTTGCTCAAGCAGTAGTTCGCCATAATCAGAAGTGTCTGGATGATGATGGTAACCACTTTGAGCAACTCTTGTAATTGTAGAAGTCAAACCTGACTTGTATTCATCTTTTGTTATCAGTATATATTGAGTATTTCAATTTTAAAAGTTTTTTTCCTTTCTTAAAATGTGTAGATATATTTTTTTGACACCCTCTGTATTATGAAGGAGTAGTTAATATACACACACCTAGGTAAAAAAGAACCTTGGGCTAAATATAGTTTTGCCTCTGCTTACTTATTTTTTTTAATTTCACATCGTTTTCATCTTTTTTTTTTTTTTTTAAGATTTTATTGGGGAATTGGGGAAGGGAACAGTGTTGGAGAAGGAACATTGTCTTTTTCCAGGACCCATCAGCTCCAAGTCAAGTTGTTGTCCTTCAGTCTTAATTGTGGAGGGTGCAAGCTCAGCTCCAAGTCCAAGTCCAGTCGTTGCTTTCAATCTCGTTGCGGGGCTGGGTGGGTCGGGGGGGTGGGACGCAGCCCACCATCCCATGCAGGAGTCAGACCAGCAACCTTGTTAAGAGGATGCGCTCTCACCAGCTCAGCGGCAGCTCAGCTCGGGTGCAGCATCACTGGCCCATGTGGGAATCAAACCAGCAACCCCGTTGCTCAGAGCTCATGCTCTAACCAACTGAGCCACCCAGTTGGCCCTCTGCTTACTTTTTAATAGGACTAACTCTATAAAGAAAAATTCCTTTCTTTTCACTTTGTTGTCGTGTCCCGTCCCCCGTCCGTCCGTCCGTCCGTCCCCCCCCGACATCCTTCACTTCTAACTTGATGTAATTACTAGACCCTACTGGTAAGGTGCTTACATGATACAAAGTGGCGTCACATGTTTCTCCTTAATGCTGGTGTGCCCAGACCAGTTGACACAGTAAGGGAGACTGAGGTGGGAGGCCCCTAATGAGGGAGAGGCCACTGGTGTTAAGATCATGGCCTCAGGAATTGCACACTGGTCCTGTACTGGTGACTTATACTGGGCAAGGAATCCAAGCTCCTTGAAGACATTAGAGTCCTTTTCTGTAAACTGGCCATAATAACACCCGCTTCATTACAGTTGTAGATTAAGTGGGGTATATTTATAAAATGCCCGGCACAGTGCCTGGCATTAATGAAGGCAGCTTTAAAAGAAAGTCACCAAACTCTTTTCTGAGGAGCCAGTCTCATCCTGAACAGTTCCCATGCTCCACTGTGTAGAAAAGTTACTGTTTAATAGAAAAATTTTGGAGATTCTAAGATGCTCACTTTTTCCCCCCCTGCTTCCAGGTATATGTTAATCAAGTCTGTGAGGATGTCTTCTCTGGTCCCCTGAACTCCCCCGTGCAGCTGGCTGGACTGAGATTGTTAACCAACATGACAGTTACCAACGACCACCAACACATGCTTATCAGCTACATTACAGACCTGTTCCAAGTGTTGCTGACAGGAAATGGAAGCACCAAGGTACAAAAGAAGTGGTTATTACTTGACGTATGAAGAGATATTGCATCAAGCTTATAAGATTGGAAATGAATTTATAGGTCTCAAAAAAGAGAAAGTTTAAAGTTTATTAAAAACCCTTACATAGGTCCAAGGAAAGTAAATTGTTTTTATCCTAATACTGAATTTCAAAATTAACTTGTGAAAACTATCTACTTCACTTATTCGTAGATTGGAATTCATTTGGTTTTCTGCAAAGCAGTTTACCTTTTACTGAAGTGAAGTAGCTGACTTCTCCCCCACCCCCCATCAGATATAGGAACATTGTGAGTAAATGGAATCTTTGAGTGATAGTGCTGGTTAATTTTTGCTTACCTTAGGGTTAACAAAACATTTTGTTGACTCAGCCATTATTGGTTGGAAAATAAAGTTGTAGTATTGGATCTCTGCTTCATTTTGACCTCTTATGAAGACGTAGGAGGCAACAGATTGAGCTGAATTAAGGATCTCAGGAGATACCCTATGAAAGTTATTTGAGCAACCCTTCATATTAGTGTGCATTCTTATCAAGTGCCATTTTTCAAGAAATAGCATAAAAACAGAAGGTAGGCTAATCAAAGTTTCTGATTAGTTGGGTTGATCCAGTGTTTCACTCTACTGGTCTCCTTTCTCTGGCACAGTTGAGTGAGAAATGGACAAGCATTTTAGGAGGACCAAACGCGAAGCCAGACTCCAAATACTCATTGCCACTGGTTATTTCTGAGGTTATCAAATTGTAAGTACAGGAGAACCTCACAATAGTCCTTTTAAAATTCGTTCTAAGATGTTTTTATATGGGCTTTCCACATTTCCAGTAGCCAAACTAACTTGGATCTGATACAAATAAGGCATTCAAGGGTAAATGTAATCATCATATTAGCAATATTTTAACAGTATTGCTCCATTCATTAGGCAATTTCCAAAACGCATGCCGCCATCCTCTCTCCAGTGGAGCAGGGTGACCTCCAGCCCGAGTTCCCATGGAACTCTCCCTCCCCTCTCGCCCATGGTGTTGCAGCTGTAGGAAAAATCTCTCTGCCTCTGCAGCTGCTTTACCCAAAACCTCAGAGGAGCGCTGAGTTCAGAGCCAGCAGAGTCTGTCCTCGGGCTGTATAGATCTGTCTCACACATGGTCTACATTTCAATATATTTTATGACTTTAAAGGTGACTCACACCACAATAGTACGTTCTATTTTTGTTTTTCCATTACATTGCCTAGTGTGGTATTTCTGGGATAGAAAATTTGCTTTCTTGGTCTGTCTGGGAAGCTAACCAATTATAACATTGTTTCTCCATAAAAAAATGAGTTTAAAATTCCAACTTGCAAATCAACTCTTGGATAGTAATCCATTGGTAAGTGGGAAAATGTGTCCATTTTATATATTTTCTTAGTACATAACCACCAAGATGACATTTTAAAATCTTATTTTTAATAAGTGGTCTCACTGTATTATAATATCCTTGTGGGTACAACACTGATTCACAACTAAATACAAATAGTAGTGGGAGATTAATGTAAATAAACCTTGTGTTTGCCACATCTGCAGTTGAGAGTGAAGAAAACTAATGGCTTAAAAGAAATACCTTGGAGTCGCCACAAGGTGGCACATGTGATAAGAAAGAGAGAACAATGTGGTTTCAAACCAAAATACATATAGCTGTGTAATCTGTAATTGTACTCTAACTTTATATATATTTTTTCACGTTTACCTCCCTTCTGCAGAGTACAGCAACATGAATTTTAGTTCAGGATATTAAACAGCTATTGCTGTGACTATTCCCTGGTTGTAAACCTGCCCTTGCTGACACTAGTGGGCCTGTTAGATTCTACTGACTTCATCCAGGATTATTTCATAGGTTTGGGACCATCCTTTTTCAGAACTCTTGGCCCTGTTTTCGTAAGCAAAACTTGATTGACATTGGAGACAAGTGTTTATTCCTAGCATTTACTCTCGGTGTTGCTGGCCGCCAGTCAGGCCAGACCAGATCTGATAGTGGCTCCAGGGAGTGCGCTCAAGAAAGGTCAGAAGTCATCTTTACTTTTACCTTAGAGACTAATGTATAGAGGATGTCTGTTTGAAAAACATGATCCCTGCATACACATGAAACTGTTACCCATGGCTTCCACTGGGGAGTGGGACGGGCAGACAGGATGGCGGTGTTTGTTTTTACCGTCTTCCCTTCTGCATTGTTTGAAATACATCATGACCATTTATTCATTTTATTTAAAAAATTAAATTTGATTAAAAAATAAATTAAGCAAAGCCATATATCCTCCTCCTCAATGAACAAATTAGCATGTACAACATGATCAAAGGAATAGGTGAGTATATAGGGTAGGTAAAGACCAGAGAAAAATACCAAAACTATCTAATAGTCATCATTTCTAGTCATGGAAATAGGGGTAAATATCCTTTTCCTTTGTGCCTGTCTTTTTTTTTTTTTTTTCCTTAATGTTCTATAGTAAACACATAATGCCTTTATGATCCAAGTTTTATAAAATAAACATCGGGAAGTTCCTTCCCAGGTCTAGTGAAGGACACATTTTGCTGACTTCAGAACCCTTCCCCGCTCCTTTCTGTAATTTCAAGGCCTTGTAGAAAGTACAGTCTTACATGACCTTTGCTTTTTTTTTTTTTTTTAAAGATTTTTATTGGGAAACTGGGGGGATAGAAACAGTGCTGGGGAATTGGGGGAAGGGGAACAGACAAGTTGCTGTCGTTTTGTTCTTCAGTCTAGTTGTGGAGGACGTTGCTTCACTGGCCCAAGTTGGCACCATCATTGCGCTCTTCCCAGGCGAGGCAGATCAGTCGCCGGCTTCTGGACGGCCGCTCACTGCGGCTGCTCGCTACATACGGTAGCCCATGGCAACCCACTGCCACAGGGGCTGCAGCCTATGCCATCGCCTGCGACTCAGGGCAGCCCAGCTCCAGGTTGAGCTGTTGTTCAGCATCTTAGCTGTGGAGGGCAGTGTCACTGGTCCTCATATGTGGGATCCGAACCGGGGCCCTCTGGCGTCCCAAGCCAGTTCTTAACCACCGCGCCACTCGGCCGGCCCTGACCTTTGCTTTTAAAGTAGGAATTCTATTTGAATGTTTTGATCACTAACTTTTCAGTTATAACTGATTAGAATGCTGATATTTTAGCAACCCAGCTATAAGTTAACATTGGTTTGCTGACTATTTATAGCACTGCCTATTTAAATGATTGTAAAATGTTTTTCACATAAAAAAGGTAAGTTTAAAGATTCATTGCAACCTACTAAAAAGGGCCATATTGTTTGTTATTTTAGTCTTGGTAACCGAACTTCAGAATTTTTCATACTTAAATAAACTGAGCTTTGAGATTCCTTTTTTGTTCCAAAGATCTTATTTCATCTAACAGTAATCATAATAAAGATCATGTATGTAACCTATGTTAAGCTTACCATGTATTAGGTATGCATGTGGGTGGGGGGTGGATATTGAAAACATTTCACAATATTCTCCCTATCTCCCTAACGATGTCATTGGAAAATAACACTGCTGTGTGGTAAGTGCTCTGAGAGTGGTGCCAAATGTTATCAGTGTCAAGACAGAGAGAGAATAAGCATCGAGAGAGAGACACCCCTTTTACACCCTTTTTACGTAAGATGAATTGAGACTCCTCCATGGAGTAGAGAGAATTTGAGCCAGACCTTGAAGCATAGGTAGGACTTTAAACTGTGGACGTGGTAAGTGGACAGGGAGAGAAAATTCATGCTTGCTAGTCTGAAATAAACCAATATTATTCTTATTTCAGGTTCAAGTTTTGAAACTGCTTTTGAATTTGTCTGAAAATCCAGCCATGACAGAAGGACTGCTTGGTGCCCAAGTAAATAGCTTACATATTTGTTTTGTAAATAAATATACAAATATATAGATTTCGACAGGTAGATGTGGATAGATTTATCCCTTTTAAAATGTTAACAGGGATTATCGTAGGAGTGTTTTGTGTTGTTTTTTTTTTTTGGCTTAAACAACAGAAATATGTTTTTCACAGTTTGGAGGCTGGGAAATCCAAGATCAGTGTGCTGGCAAATTGGGCTCCCGTAAGGGCCCACATCAGAGTTTGCAGCCTGCTGCCTTTTCACTATCTCCTCACTTGAGAAGGACATCCTAGGGTTCCACCCTCATGACCTCATCTCTAAACCTAATCACCTCCCAAAGGTCCCACCTCCAATACCATCACATTGGGGACTGGGGCGTCAACATGTGAATTAGGGGTGGCAGAGGGAACACATTCAGTTCTGAGGAGCAATACTGTGTGGTAGAGGTTGTGGGGTTTCTTTTTTTGGGGGGGAGGTCTTTTCGCCTAGACGCATTTTCCTAAATTTTTTGTAATGAGCATATTTTACTTTTTAAAAAAATCATTTTTGAGACGTTCTCCCTAGCAAAAATAAATTTTAATTTTTGTCTACCCAGTTGGGGAAATTACGTCATCACATCTTTTCTACTTGACCTGTTTGTGTTCTCATATATCTTACTACATGAAACACTAATATTTAATTAGTCCCCAGCATGTGCCAGATGCTGGGCTAAGTACCATGATACACCCGAGTACAGTAGAACATGGTGCTTGTCCGCATGGAGCTGATGGTGCTGGAAGAGAGACAAATACGTAACAAACGAACAAGAGAATGAAAAGCGATGACAAGTGTTGAGGAAGCAAAGGCGGTGTGGAGACAGAATGGACCCCAGCCCCTGTGGAAAAGGGACCGTATTGAATTCATCTGCTCATCCATGCAGTGTGGGTGTGCCATAAATGTTTGGTGAATTAATGAGTTCCTATGAAGACTATGATGAAGCTTAAAAAGGAAATGGGTGTTTTCCCTAATGAGTCCATTCTGGGATTCCAAGGAAATAACTATTTTTCAGCAAAAACACAAAACCTCTTTTCCATTAGTATACAGTGTGGGGGTGCATAAGATTTCATTTATGTTATACAATCTTAGGGATAATCTTTTAGGACAAGATTTTTTAAATGTACTCAATGCAGTTTTAAAATGTAAAAAAATGCATGAAAAATGTTTTCATATATTAAAATAATACTCACTGTTTCCTATTGCAGGTGGATTCGTCATTCCTTTCCCTTTATGATGGCCACACAGCAAAGGAGATTCTTCTTCGAGCTCTTACATTATTTCAGAATATAAATAACTGCCTCAAAAAGGAAGGCCATTTAGCTAGTCAGTCTACTTTCACTAAAGGTTCACTGTTTTTCCTGTTATATGGAGAAGAATGTGCCCAGAAAATGAGAGATTTACTTAATCACCATGATGCAGATGTGAAGGAAAAGGTAACAGTAATACCCAAATTCTAACTGGTTGGTCCTGTTTTTCCAGGGAAATGCAGTCTGGAAGTAATGTGCAGAATTTAGTTTTCTTCTTCCTTCCAAAGGGATTCTTTTAGCTGCTGAATTTAAACAGTAAATATCACATTTCATCATTTACACAGCTATACCTTGCCATGGTCTTGTGGTTTATTTTGGACCATTCTATTGATACCAAATGAATATAACAGCTTGTTCTGAAACAGTTATTTCTTTTTATTTGCTATTTGCTGAAATATGTCAATTATTTTCTCTACGTGAAATGACAGTGACCTTATTATGTGTAAGCTACCCTTGTTTCCTGTGATTTGAGAGCATTAGTTGATTAACTAGTTGTTTCAGAACTGCCATAGGAATGACCTTGTTCTTTTAGTAGCAGTGAGATTCTGAGCTCTCCAGTCCACCTGCCAGCCTAGCCGTACTGCTTTCAAAAGTCTGTTCTCATCATTAGAATCTATTCTAGTCAATGAATGTTGTAAATGTTAAGGAGAAATGTTTCCAAGTACTCACCCACTCCCATTCAATGTGCTAGTATGTAAGGATGCTATGTATAAAATACTGAGATCATTCAAAATGTGCATCTGTAGGAATTGGTTAAATCAGTTATCTAGTCTTAAAATAACGAAGCAATTCTAAATGTACTAATGTGGAAAGACACCTATGAACTATGGATGTGCTTTTTAAATAAAAAATATTTATGCTTATCTATGGATAGAACACTTCTGGAATGATAATCAGACTCCCGGGAGTAGAATTGGGGAGTAAGAAAATTACTTCGCTATGTATACCTTCTTCTACTGTTTGAATTTTTTATTGTGGCATAAATTTTATAATAATTTTTTAAATAAAAAAGAAAAAATAATTCACAAGGTTATATTTTCTCCCCTTAATTGATAGTACTTTATTCATTAATTTTCACCCATATTTTACTTGACTAAAATTACAATATATGAAAATTTCTCAGCTATTTAATATTATTTTTATTCCATAAGCTACTATAACAATTTATTGATGTATTTGAATTCAGCCAGATTTTATAATATTCAAGTTCATAACACCACCATGCTTAGTATTAAGTAAACCAGATGCAAGCAGAAGCTTTCCTACTCATGTATTTAAGGCGAAGCTTCAAGAGTACTTTAAATTTCATTTGTAAAAACATGGATTTCCATAGGAAGTCACAAATCCTCAAACAGAAAAATTTATATTTTCAGGGTTATCCTGATACAGAAATCAAACTTGGAACAAATATTTTTACAGTAGAAAAAGGATTTAGTATTAAGATGAAACATGTGAATTCCCAATTAGCTATAGTAGTAATGCACATATGATGGCTAAGAATAATACTTTTATTAGTGATGCAAACACAAGTATTCCCTGAACAGTCCATTTCTTTATAACAATTTTTTAAATCTGCCTCCTTGTTTAATGAAAACATGTATTCAAAATGTGCACACATTAAAAACCAGGATTTGGTTTCAATGTGCTTTTAGCAGCATTGGATTCTAAAACTCTTCTTTTCCTCTATTATTAGTTTGAATAAATAACCACATTTCCTGGCGATCAGAGCACTGAGTGTGAAATGTCAAAATGCTACAGAAAAGGGGGAGTCATTTTTAACTACCCAGAGAGAATGACATAATGAAAATGCACAAGCTGATCTTTATTAAGTGGGATTCCTCCTAATTGACGGTTCCATCCTGTTGGGCAATGAGGAATATCAACATGTTCCTCAGTTCCCGTAGGAGAAAGGGAAACTCCAGTAAGATTTCACATATTGCTATCGATGCTGGCTAATCAGAGAGGAAAATGAAATTGACGTGGAGGATAAGACATTAAAAAATATTACAACATATATTAGACTGAATGGAGGAAACCGACTTCCTATTTTTCAAAACTTTTTTTTCACTTTGCACATAAACCCTTCAAAATGTAAATAAGTGAAAAATAAAATGGGAAGAACCACCCAATAGTGAGATTCTATAAGGAGAGATGAAGCTTGATGTACCTCTTAATGATAAAATGTAAAAGTAGAAAGAATATGAATGGTAATTAAAAATTAAAGCTTGTGAGGCAGCCTAGAAAAATGAGGCAGGTCCAATTAAGTGGAACAGTTGCATAATTTAAAGGGCATAGAGGCCCTCACATGGTACATGTGAATACAAAAATAATGTTAAGGCCATTTACGGACAAGAAATTTAGCAAGATGTACTTGGCTTGCTCCGTAGAGCAGAGGTAAGAGATGAATTTTCAATTCAGCATGCAACAGCAAGGAAGGTGACCAACTCTGGCTGGTATGGGGCAGTACGCCCCAAAGCCCACCTAACGTCCGGATTCACATCTGCTTGTTAAATGTTCCTCTGAAGTGAAAACTTTTACGCCTGTTCACTTTTTGTCCTGAACATTTATTGTATGGGAAATTTTTTTGTGCTTGAGTGCCCTCAAATCACATACATTCACATACATTGTATACACACATACTATATATACATTTCTCCTTGATCTTTGTGGATAAAAATGCTAAATTTTGTCAAAGATCATTTACATTTATTTTGACTCCAAATTTTACAAAACGAGTGAGATAATGTTGCTAGTCCTCAATATTTAGTGTCCTAATATATATGCTTAAATCGGCAACAGGAATAACACATTATCAAAAGCATTAGCCTATTTTCAGTTTTCACATCTGTCTATCAGTATTAGGCAGTGGTACCGTAAGAAATCATTTTTTCACTTACATTTTCAAAGTGCTTTTTAAAAAAATCACTTTACTATTTATTCACATTTTGGGGAGGTAGGTCAAAATTCTCCTCTTGTTGCACATGAGGAAACTGAGGCACAGTGAGCAGAGGTGACTTGTTTCAGGGTACACAGACAATCCATGACGGAATTAAGTGGCTGACATGGCGCATGCATATATATGTGCTGTAGAGCACTGCCTGGGTAGAATTGGGTACAGAAAACCTATTTTGATAATTTGCTATGAATAAAGTTTATTTCACTGAGCTTATGGATCAAGAAGCTAGAATGGGCCTCCAAATGTATCTACTCAGCTCTCTACCTCACGAAGGTTCAGAGTAATCAAGTGACCGCAGAGCCCTCGTGGGACTAAAAGCTCAGGTCGGGTGATTCCCATCTCTTTCTCTTTTTTTACCATTAGTATTCCACACTGGCTTAATAAAAGTAAAATTGTGCTTTGGGATCATTTAATATAAAAATATAAGACATCTGAATCATGTAAAACATAAAATGTTTATAAATCTTATTGATGTATTTAGAATTAGAACTAAGAAACCAAGAAAAAATGAGTGTATGGAGAGAATAAAATTTAATTCAAATTGCATGGTATACTAACATTTGAGATCTGCATTTATCTTCATAAAATATTGTTTCCTTGCAGCTATATTTGTGCTTAGTGGGTCTGACTTTTAGATTAAAAATAGAAATTTTCATAAATCATAGTCTCATAATTACACTCTTCCTTTGTCCAACTCATAGGGCTTTTGATTTGGGGACTGTAGACATGCAATAGAATATACTGTTCCCCTCTTTCAAAAATTAAGTCTTTAAAAATGGCAACTTGTTTTTATGCTGAAAAATATATATCACTTAATTAATATTTGGCATGTAAGCTAAATCTTAGTAGAGCAAGAACTACTATAAGCATGTGGGAGTCAATTTCACCACTACTCTAATATGCATGTAAAAGATATGTTTATGTGAGCAGGACTCTGAAAACATCCAGGTATGCAGACAGCCTTGATCACCTGTGAAGAAGGCCCTCAAGAATAGAACAGAAATGAATCTTTCAAATCAGTTTTTCATAACTTCAGAAAATTCTATACATAAAGTATAATGTTTTAGTAAAAAAAAAATCCCATTCAATGCTTATACCATTGAAATGAGATTTAAAATTGACATTAGCCAATTTATTATTTAAATGACCCATACCTGAACTCGTCTTTGTTTAAATGAAATAGCAATGTATTAGAGTAAGCAAGTTATTACATAAAAAAAACTTGCAGAAGTTATTTCCAAATATAAAAAATAATATTCATTAATTTCTTAGTCTTTTCAAATTTGTATCAGATGATGTCTTTTTTACTAAAAGCTCCTGTGCTCATATTTATTCAAAGTTTTCATCATCGGTTTTTAGGTACCTTGATTCTCCATGCTTCAAGACAAAAAAATCTTCAGTCTTAAGTCCATATGTTTCTAGAGCTTCACTCAGTTTTACTGGAGGCTCTAAGTAATGCTGGCAAAGGGCAGAAAGAGAAAATAGAAAAGGAAAAAGATTAACCATACATACCTATATTTGGGGGATATTTCAAATAAGAATTTAAAATAACCAACATATGCCTACTTAAAAGAATGTCCTTTCTTTTCACTGAAGCATTAGCAAATGAGTTAATCACATTTTCTAATGGTATAGGGTCACTATAAGAAATGTCATATTTATCAATCTATCCACACGCCATGAATGTCAAATTTGGTGCCAACTTAGACTGAACATCATTAGACTGCACGAAATCTGATCAATATTTCACTACATGAAATTCCAATCTAAATGGAATCAATGCCAAAGATATTAGAGAATTAAATGCTACCAATATTTTTGAGGAATATAGAAACTTAGATTACAAGGGAGAGCAAAATGCTAGGGAAAATACTTTGGCTGAAGAAGTTATCTGCAAACCTCTAGAGAACAGGTATGATGGTGGAATGTCCCTATATCCCTTTGTATCCTCACCTTTTCAAAGCTCACTAAAAAGGGAAGATAGCACACTGTTGTCAGAATGTTTCAACCTACTTGAATATTTTCCAAATAAATTGAAACCACTTGAATATGAACTACTGAATTAAAAGGTATAAAAAATAAACCATTTCCCCATTTCTCTTTAATCTTTACATTGTATAATTGCTGTTTTTCCCTTTATTTCAAAGGGTTTTTCCCCAATTTCAATTTAAAAAGCTGTAAAATTGGAAGTATAAAGCAGGAATAAAAATCAGTCTCTCATCTAATCACAAGTGGTTAGTCTGCCTCACTCCTTTGTGCAAGGAGTATCTCTCGAGTGCCAGAGAGTAGCCAGGCCTGTGAACCAAACAGAGGCCCTTGCCTTCCTAGAACTTCTAGTCTAATACAGAGACAGGTAAGAAATGAATAAGAAAATAGTATCGGAGTGGTTGATATGTTCTATTGACAAAATGGGGGATAAATGTGAGGGTGGATGTTTATTTTAAATACAGCAGGCTAGTCTTCTAGGAGAAGGCACTGAACAAAGAACTGATGGAGCAGACTTCTGGGGCTTTGTAGGCAATTGTGGGAGCTGTGGCTTTGACTCAGGTAGTTCTGGCAGGGGAGCATCATGCTCTGAGTCAAGGTGTAAAGGTCACTGTCCTCTGCAGTGTTGAGAGCAGAATGTAAAGGGCAGTGTGATAGCAGTGAAGGCAGTGAGGATTGGTACACGTTTGAATATAATCTGAAGGTTGAGCTGACTGCATGCGGGGAAAATCTGGATGGAGGATATGAGAAGTCAAAGTTTGGCCTGAATAACTGGAAGGAGGGATCTGCCATTTACTGAGAAGTAAGAGAAACAAGTTTGAGGAAAGATCAAAAAGTAAGGTTTGGGACTTAGGTTTTGATACTTAAAGGACATCCAAATAGAGCTGTTAAGTAGGCAATAGGAAATATAAATGTGGATTATAGGGGGGAAACCTGAGCTAGAGGAGGACAGTGGACAGAAGGTATTTGAAGCCACAAGATGATGAGAGATCCCCAAGGGAGTAACCAGCTAGAGAAGAGGTCCATGGGACGAGTCCTAAGGCACTCTCTATTCAGAGGGGCGGAGATGAAGAACTAGGAACAGAGACTAAGAAGGGACAGCTGATAATATCCTGTGAAAACCAGGAAAGTTTTCTGTGGCTTAGCATGCACAGGTTTGCATTTTAATAGTTACTGGCCACACACCAGGTTTTTTCTCCCCTCTTGCTCACTTCTAGGTTTATGGCTATGTTTAGAGGGTTAGGGATGTCTTTCATGTGAGTGCTGAATAACTTAGGTTTTAACTATACATTGGTTACCCCGAATTCCCACAGATAACCACTTATTAATGGATTAGTAAAAGACCAGTAAGCTAGTCTTTCTTATGCATATAGGAGATTGCAAATATATTACCAATAAAATGTAACTTTAAATAACAGCCTAAGTCAAGAAATTTCCCTTGCAAAATTATGTTAGTTTGAGATTTCAAAATGATGAAATTCTTTCCCACTAAAAAACAATTTGTTTTGTTAAATTCTTTTTCTCCCATTTCTACAAGTCTTAGCCAACAATATACTTACACAGTCACCCTACAGTAATAATTTCTTTGCTAAGCTATAAGTGTGGTTGTCAGCTAACGTGTGGATTTTGATCCTAAAATATCTGAGTTTCTTCATAAGTCAATTCTTGGCTGTTTCAACCATCTAGAACGGGTCGGCAAACTGGCTCGCAAGCCACATGCGGCTCTTTGGGTTCGTACATGTGGCTCTGAAGTAAAATTGAAAATGAAAATAAAACTATCACAGTTTCATTTATAAAATTTTTAAAGGATATTATTCACATAATGGTGATTTTATTTGTTTTATGGCTCTCGAAAAAATTTTAAATTGTTGTGAGGAACAGGACTGGCTCTTCCGTCTCAAAAGTTTGCCAACCCCTGATCTAGCAGATAGCCTTAGAAGTAGGCAAGAAGCCTTCTGAGTGACTGAAAGCTATCAGAGTGCAGGCACTTCAGTCCCAGAAGGTAGAGAAAAATACCCCATAGCCATAGATCAAACTATAAAGCAAGACAGTAAATTAGAGATAAAGAAGAATAAGTGGTAAAAGCAGAAGCTCTCTGGATCCATTAACAGCCGGGCAACCAGTCCCAAACAACTCATAAGTTCCCTTTTAAGGGGTATGTTTTATGATCTCCAAAAAAAGAGAATTCAAAATAAAGACGCCACTGGTCATTTAAACAGTTAACATATTTTATAATGCCTGAAATTTGTTTCCACCCAAACTAGTGAGTTGTTTTACATTTTTGTGCTTAAATACATCATCTAGGAAATTAACTCATCATTCCCTAGATAAATCAGATGTTGCTATATGTATAATTTCAAAGAGTTGCCAAGTTAAGGATGTCCTTAATGTGTTTATATTCTAGTAAGCAGATATTGTAATTATATGTTTTATTAAGAAATGAAGATAGGGCCGGCCGAGTGGCGCGATGGTTAAGAACTCGCTTGGGATACCAGAGGGCCCCGGTTCGGATCCCACATATGAGGGCCAGTGACACTGCCCTCCACAGCTAAGATGCTGAATGACAGCTCAACCTGGAGCTGGGCTGCCATGAGTCGCCGGCGATGGCGTAGGCTGCACTCCCTGTGGCAGTGGGTTGCCATGGGCTACCGTGTGTAGCCAGCAGCCAGCGTGAGCGGCCAACAGCTGCAGTGAGCGGCCGTCCAGAAGCCGGCGACTGATCTGCCTCGCCAGAGAAGAGCGCAATGATGGTGCCAACTTGGGCCAGTGAAGCAACATCCTCCACAACTAGATTGAAGAACAAAACAACAGCAACTTGTCTGTTCCCCTTCCCCCAATTCCCTAGCACTGTTCCCATCCCTCCAATTCCCCAATAAAAAAAAAAAAAATCTTTAAAAAAAAAGAAAGAAATGAAGATAGAAGTTAGATTTTTAACAAGAATAACTCTTGAAGACTGTGAATAACACATTTGGAGACGTTTTCTATGCTCTCATCTTCCCCACTTCAGCACAGAGCACAACCGTCTCCCCAATCGCTAAGTTAAAAATCTAGGAATCGTCTTGGATTCCTCTTTGCACAGGTTTAATAAAATACTATTACTTAATCTAAATCACTAGTATATATTACATATGGACCATATATATGGAACACACACACCTGTGGAATAAGAAATGCCACCAAATAGAGTGGTATACCCGAGGAAACCAGTATCAAACTTCCCCCTTCTCCAAGCACACAGACATACTCTCCATCCTCCCCACCCCTCTGGTGGTTCATTTATTCATTCCATTCCATCTCCCAGCAGTGTGGTTCAGGGCTCTGCATCACGACAGGAATTTTGATTGAGGGGAGGAGGGAGTGGGTAGGCAGTATATTAGGTAAATCTGGAACGACATGGAACCTAAGGAGAGGGCAGGCCAGAAACAGGACAGAAAGGGAATGCTTAAAACAGCATGAAAACACAAGGTTCCTGCAGAGCCCTGGGATGTGGAAGATGCCACACAAAGCAAAGTAGGAGAAGCCAAGTTCAACCATCTGTTAATAAATTTTGCTTAGCGCAGACTCTGGATACGGAGAGAAAACTTTTTTCTATCCTGCCTGATCCCAGAATTGGCTAGTAGCAGAGTTCTAGGGTTCAGCTACCTGAAGGGAAAAAATCAGCTCTTCTGTATTAGTCTAGGAGTAAAACGACCATTTATCCCAATACCTGGCACAGAGTAGATACTTACTGTATTTACTGAATGAATAACATTTCTAAAAAGCTCCAAGCTGCCCAGCCTTATTACCCCATTGCCCTCCATATGGCATACATACTCGGGCTGACAGATTCCTCACTATTTCCCGTGCTTGCTGCCTCTGACCCTATACTCTGCCCTTTTCTCTTCTTAAAATGCCTTCTCACAGCCAAGTTAAATGTCACTTCTTCCATGAAGCTTTTCCTGATCTCTCCAATCAGTAACAGTCCCTGACTCTGAGACCACTTACTCCTTTGAACACGTTTTAGAGTTATTATGTATGTGTTATATTTTCTGCTGGAATTAAAGGCTCCTTGAGGGAATGGCTCATTTTTCTGTTTCCCAAGACTACACATATTTTTGGTTATAGAAACACATGCTTCATTAACTACAGAAATAAGCCAAAAGAACAGCATGCAATGAAATTTTTTCCACTGTACAAAAATAAATGTTTTACTAATTAATATGATTTACCACCTTAATTTATGTGATGACTATACAGATTCTATTCCAGTTTGGCCTCTGAACACGATGCAGGGTATAGTGATGCCTAAATCCCCTCATAGGTCAAACACACAACCAGTCAGTGTCATGAGCAAACTCACCTCATTTGCTAAGGCGAAAGTCCCCCAGTGAATTGCCACTGATTTCTTTGTCTGCACATCAATGTGAATCATTACAGCTTCTTCTGGGTCTACATGTTGGTACTTCATAAACCACCTGATGAGACATCAATTATCAATTCTGACCTTTGAAGTACACACTAAATTCTAATGACTGCTTCACCTAATCAACTGGTATGATTCTGCACAGAAATAAATCACAGGAGGCAAAATGATCTCCCTTGAGTCCACTTTTCTGCTGGAAAAAAAAAGCAAAAATCTCTCATGTACAATCTCCTATAGAGGGCCAGCCAAGTAGCTCAGTTGGTTAAGAGCGTGAGCTCTGAGCAACAGGGTCATGGGTTCGATTCCCACATGGGCCAGTGAACTGTGCCCAAGCTGGGCTGCCAACCAGTGGCAGGATGGCCCAGCTGGTGAGAGCACGTGCTCCCAACAACAAGGTTACTGGTTCACCTCCCGCATTGGATGGTGGCCACGCCCACCCGCAACTAAGACTGAACAAGGTACCTTGAGCTGAGCGACTAGACTTGGAGCTGAGCTAGCTGAACCCTCCACAACTAAGATTGAAGGACAACAACTTGGCTGTTCCCCTTCCCCAATTCCCAAATAAAATCTTTAAAAAACAAACAAAAAAAAACCTGCTATACAATAGATAAGTCTCAAGCAAAACTCCCCTTTGAATAGTAAGATTTTGTTTCATGTGTATTGATTTTACTGATGATTTATTCTGAAAATGTCTTACTGTTTCTCTAAAAACTAGATATTTTGCAATCCTGGTATGAATCCAAGAAACCAAATAATGGGTAAAGAATTAGAAACGAAAACTCCAGTTGCAAAAGAACCTGAATAACTTGCTGAAACAATTTTTTTTTAACTTGGTAAAACGAAAAGCCAACAAAAATGTATAATAGTGTATAATGTTTAAAGATTGGGAGGAAAAAAAATCCAATTACTACTCAAGGATTTTATTTAAACAACATACAACTGAACAGTGAGGTGTCTGGTTTGGCAAGAAGAGAGGGTTCGTGGGGGCGGGGGGGACTAATCAGAGTGTAGAAACACCGAAAGGCTGCCTACCACCTTGGGAAGGACAGGGAACACTTTCAGGAGAATTATTATTTCTGGTACACAGGAAAAAGTATACTATCTACAAGCAAATACTGTGCTTTCCCAGCCATCAGTTTAGAAGAGGAAAGACCCTGTCTTCACATTATTCACATCCTGGGTATGCCACTGCCAGCTGCTGCGACAGGTAGGACTAACAGCTGTGGGGTCAGCACAGGGGCTTCTGCACTTATAGGACACATCATGGAAAAGTTCATCCACATGCAACAACTAGGCTTGTTATTTAGTGTCAGGAGTTGCCAGGCCCTATGGGAGCCTAGAAACAAAGCCACTGTGTTCTGCGTGGCCGATTAGAGACACTGTTCTGCCCTATCTCCTGACACTCAGAATTCAGGGCAAGATGAGAACAGTTATTGGGATTTCTCTCTGGTCACTTGTTTTTAAACTCCTACAGCAAATCAAAGGGACAGACATACTCCTTCCTACCCTCGTGTCTATCTGAAATAAATGTAAAATTTTTTACTCTGGTGTAAAAATTAAGAACAAAACTTAAAACCCTAACCGACTTGGATAAAATAATCCAAAAGGAAGGATGAATCCAAGCATATTATCGAAAGTCATTTTTGGTGTGATCATCTTCAACTTATAGAGTGCCTTATATCTAAAATTATAAATACTGAGCAGAGAAATGGGTTACACAGTACAGGTTACCGCAATTTAATCTTAGAGCAAATAATGTCCTCATCCTTCTACCGTCTTAATCACAAGACAGCTGCAACGCAAGCAGGAAGGGGGAATTACATGAGTGAAGGTGTGTCAGGCTGTACACTTCTCACATACATGTGAAAAATATGTATTGCTTCATATGAAAACTTAGTTTCATAAATATAAATAAGATATTAACATTGAGTAAAGATCAATACATGAAAGTGATTTGTCAACTGGTTGATGTTTTGATAGATTTCATTAGAATTCAAAATTAGAATTAAGAGGAAAAGTGAAATTCAAGTACTATTATTAATAATTTTTTGAAATAAGGTAAAAATATCTAGCCCTTTAAAGAAGCTGGAAAAAACATAAAAGGGAGGAATAAGCATTAATAAAGATAGTGAAGAAATGGTTTTAGAGAACTTAGAAAGTTAAGTACAATAAAATCAGATGGAAACCAGTGATCAAATGTGCTCCATTCATCTATGTATTATATTAGTGTTCTGCTCATAGGATTGCCTAAATAAAACACCATCCTACGTACAGTTCTCTATGTATCTGCATGCACTTTAGGAAATAAAACATTTTTTAAATTAGCCCTTACTTTGTTACTGTTAATGTTTATCTTCTCTTAATTTGTATATATCAACCAGAGTTGACTGAAATCTAAGTGAATTATTTGTAATTACTTTTATTTTCCTTAAATAGACAGTATTTAGGAAAACACAGGCAGTGGATGGGTCTCCTAGGTCTCAACGGCTAGTGTGCCCTCTATCTGCTCTGAATACAGGTGATGGGTATGTAGAAGCTGGACAGCAAGTGATGAGTAATGCCACGTCATTACCAGGTTAAATTCAATGCTGACTGAAATAAGACCATCCCAAGGGACTAATGCTGCATGCCTATTCCTCGCTTTTTCTCTAATAAGCACAGAAGAGCTAAGGACAGGCAAAGGGGGCATTCTAGTTCTGGAGCACAGAATGGTTCTATAAAGGATCCTCCTTGTGAAAGGAAGAACAAGAGTTAGGTTTGACATTGGCTGATCAGTTTCACTTTAGTGAGAATGGTACATGAACTTCTGGCTAGGTATACTAATTCTTTAAATCTTGGTCCTTTTTTCTTCGTGATATAATTTCTGATTTTGAATATTTAACTGATATGACTAAATATTTTAAAATTAAAAAATGTTAACTGAATCTGACCCACCAACCCCCAACCAATGTATAACAAAGTCCACCATTAAAGTCACAAATTATACTGTATTACAAAATCCTAACTACTTTTATTTTCAGTTCAGTTATCTTATTATGGAATAATAGCAGGAATGTTTTCTTTGGAAATCTACATACCTTGGTTCATACGCTCCAATAGGAATAGCTGCAAGGTCAAAAGGTCCAAATCTTTTTCCTATCTCCTTAAAAGCAGGGCAATAACCGGTGTCTCCTGCGAAAAAAAATCGATTCCAAGGGCCCAAGACGGACCAGCTGCCCCACAGAACCTTGTTGTCATCCATTAGAGTCCTTTTACACCAGTGTTGTGAAGGTGTAAAGACAAAAGTGACTTTATCGTGTCCGGGGACACAGTTCTCCTCCCACCAGTCCAGCTCAATCACATTCTCACAGCCGCATTTTTGCATCCAGTCAAGGAGCCCCAAAGGCACAAACCATCTCAGCTCATTGCCGAATCGCTCATTCAGAGCAACAACAGAATGGTAGTCCAGGTGGTCGTAGTGGTTGTGACTGATCAGGACCGCGTCGATCGGGGGGAGTTCACTTACAGTGCACGGGGGAGGACGAAAGCGTTTTGGACCCATGTGCTGCAACGGGGAAGCGCGCGCGCTAAAGATGGGGTCGGTGAGAAATGTGAGCTCGTCCATTTCCACCATCACTGTTGCATGTCCCAGCCACGTGACTCGCATGCCAGCTTCCCTCACTCCAGCTGCTTCAGGGTCATCCATAAAATAAGGCCTAAGCACTGGGAGTTCTTTATCCAGTTCCTATGTGTATAAAGAAAGAAAAGCAACCATTAGGAAAAGTTAAAAGGTATTATGTCATCACAGAACATATTTGACCTAAATTAAAGGGAGAGGAACTATTTGGGGAGAACTGAAGTCATTCAATTAATTTGCTATTTTTGCTTTTCTCTTGAAAATGCATACTTCTTTCTGAACCTGCCTCATTAATCATGACAATATAGTAATGTAAGACCTTCTTGGCCCCAAATGCAACAGACAAAGGAAAAATTAAATTTAAAACTCTGAGCGCTGCCGAAAGTACTTGGTGTTTTTCAAGGCTCTCTTCTGTAAGCACCAGAAGTAGACTGGCCGCGCGGCAGTCACTTGCTATCAGCCCTCACTTAGCTGGTACCTTTGCTGCTGAAAACAGCATCAGACGCAGTTCAGTCCTGGAAATGGTAAAGAAAACTTACAACCATTTATTTGTATATCTTGGATCTCAGATATGGATCTGCCTTTCTAAGTACACAGGATTCAAAGCACAGCATTGTGCTGATCCTGGGCACCATGAGGTGGTTCTCATTCCTTCCAGCGCAGTTTTCTACCATTGATCAAACCAAAGCAAAACATCGTCCCTGCCTGGGAGAAGGTGATCACTTTCGGGGTTAACAGATGTAAAACAATAACTACACCAAAATGTTACAAGTAATATTTCTTTGGCTATTCTACAGTTTATCCTTGAATTAGGCTAGACCAAGAAGCAGCTGTGTTTCAGGGTCACAGTCCTGGCTGTTAGAAAACTGCTTTTATAATTGTGCTTTGGAGTTATGCTATACGCCTGCATCGAAGTCACTAGAGGAAGCCGCCTCTAGAAACTTGCTGGGCACGTGTTATAGGCTGTCTCTAAAACGTGGTACCTACCACCTCCACCTTCCCACTCACCCCAGACACATGTCTCAATTCTCAGTAAGAGGAAAAGCTCTTCTCCAGAGTAGAGCTTTTTCATCTGACTGTCACTGGAAAAACTGAGTTTATGCTTCCCTTCTTGCTTTGAGGAGGAAGTTCACAGTGAAGCTGAATGAAGATGCCTCCAGCAATGTGCAGGGCATGATGAAACATGTCTGTACTGACTTCACTCTTGGCTTTATTTTCTACCCTCGTAGTCCATGTGCTTTCATACGGTCATCCATCTGCTTTTCACTGCTACGTGAATTTTTATAAGTTGCTGCAGATCAAGTTTGAAAAAGGTGTGGTACTGGATAATTACCTAAGATACAAGATATGCTATAGCCTAATAAGAAGGAATGAAGAACGCAGTTGCCAAAGGCATTACAGACACAGTAACTTGTGTGAGTTCCTGAACAATGGTGAGAAGTTCATGATGCAGAGAAAACTAAAAAGAGCATTTCAGGTGGAGGAAGTACCCAAGCGAAGGCACGGGAGCAAATAGGAACTGGCATTTTGGGGGCAGGGGGACAAACTGAATCGACAGGATCAGAATACAGTAAGAGCCCTGAAAACCATATTCCACCCAGAGACAATGAGGAAGTATCTTTCAAAAAAAAAGACATGACCCTATTTGTTTAAAGAAAACACTGTCAGCATGCAAATGACGATGTGGAATGTGTCCCAACAGCTGCATGAGAGATGACGCCTGAACACGGGAGACAGCAGTGTACAGCGATGACAGGGCAGATGGGGGACGCTGGTGAAGGAAAAGTGAGAGGTCAGTGAGATAGCCTGAGGGGAAGGGGCCTGGGCAGAAGGGAAGGAGCAGCAGGGGGATGACAACATTTCAGCCCCCCTCAGTCTTAGTGTCATCTGAAAAATGGGCATGCCAATTGGCCCTACACTTCATCGCTGTGGGGACTGAATGTGGAGTGGCTAGCACACTGTAGGCATTCACTCTACAAGTATTCCAAAAGAATAAGAAAGCCCCAACCCCGACCACCAATCAGGCACCAACCCCATGGATCTCCGACATTTTACCTGTTTCCTTTCTCATAGTCACTAACCTAGTTAAGATGCTAAGTTAACATTCAAACACTTTAAAGCCTCCTGGTTGCTCAACGTCTTCCCGTCAACTCAATCCATACACAAAAGCCATCTCAGAAACAGTCAACTGAGGTATACCTCTCCCTGCTGAAAACCTCCACTGACTACTGCTCGACGAAACACGTCTCACCTCAGCCCAGGAGTAAGCCTGTTTGGACTGCCCATCCCCCTTTCCAGCTCTTTCACTCACTCTACATGGCTGTGTCCCACCTACGCTGTCCCTAGACTGAGCCGGAGAGCCTTGCACCATACTGACCCCATTTCTCAAGTTAAATGTCTTCCCCTCCATCTCTGTGGGACCTTAATCAAATCGCACACCCTCATGAGACCACCTCTGGGTCCCCACAGCTGGAAGCACTCATTCTCACCGCTCAACTTCTTCCATGTCACTTTGTTCATGCACCACCGTCTATGGACGGACACCCTGCCCTGTGCCCTGCTTAAATGTACACAGGACATATCTCCTGTCTTATTCAATTTGAAATCACTCACAGTGTCCCCAGGTTCAGTGATGAAACACAATATGTTTAATAAAATAGTTGGATGAATGAGTGAATGAATGTCAATTTTTCAAATTGGTTCTCAAAGTTGATAGGGTTAGTGAACAACAACAAGTACTATACGGTGTAATTATCATGAATTAAGGGGAAAGAGAGGGAGTTAATATAAATTGAGTACCTACCATGTGTTATTAGGCTTCATACTAGGCACATCATGATGATGATGATGAATTATCTAACATATCAAGTACTTTAGAATATAACACAAAATAACAGTAACAACAGCTACCATTTATGGAGTGCTTACCATGTGCTAGAAATGGTACTAACTGCTTCATAAAATTTTAGTTTAACACCAACCACAACACTGGAGGTGGGTAGGTCCATCAACTATCTCCACTTTACAGGTGAGAAAACAAAAGTCACAACATTCACACAAGGAAACCAGCAGCTAGCTTCCACACATAATACCTCTCACCAGTATACTTATCCCAAATATTATCTCATTTAATACATATTTTTTTTAAAAAGGGTAACAGCCTGGGCATCAGATAGAGGAGAATAAGAGATGGATTACTAAGGACACAAAGAATTTTTGGAGATGATGGATATGTTCACTATCTTGATTGTGGTGATCATTTCAAGGGTATATACTTATGTCAAAACTCATAAAAAATTGTACTTTTTGAATATGTGGAGCTTATATTACATTAATAAAACTATAAAAAATATTTAGCATCATGTTTAAACAATACATCAAAATATCTAATGAAATCCCCTGAAAATGATTGCATTTTCTTTCTGCTCTAAGTTCAAAAGCCATTTGAAGCTCAATATCTGGCATTATTTGCTGACTGTTGAGGGGAAACTAAACCTTTAATAGAACACCTCTGGCAACCTAAACTTGTTCTCCAAACAAAGTATTACCAGGTAAAGTGCTCAAACAACCCTGTCAGAAAGGACCATATGTTGTATGATCCTATTTCTATAAACACTGGGAATAGGCAAATCCAGAGACAGAAAATAGGTTAGTGATTTCCAGGGGCTGGAGGAGGGCAGTAGAATCGGCGATGATGACTAAGGATATGGGGTTTCTTTCTGGGGTAATGAAAACATTAGATTGTGGTTAATCCTCAACTTGGTGAATATATTGAAAAGCATTGAATTGTGTATTTTAAAAGGTCAACTGTATACTTTAAACAGGTCAATTGTATAATAGGTGAATTATATCTCAACAAAGCTTTTTTTTAAAAAAGGAAAACTACTGATGAGATATCTGAATTAAGCAGTCACACTTTTCTCATGTTCCTGTCTTCATGCTATACTGTTTCTAAGCCCATCACAAAAGAACAGCCTATTTTAAGGAATCTGACCTCTGGCACTACTATCCCACAAAACTCAAAGAAATGGTCTACAATTGAGATTCCAAAAGGAAAAAAAATCAATGTTTACTTTTTATTCTAATCATCAGAGTTTGAAAAAGAATGCAGAATGGGGGTTGGGAAATTCTTGTTTATTTAAGGAAATCAAGCACTCACTTGGCATTTTCTTCACTAGATCAAGATTTTCCTTGGCTGGTCTTCTGTCTTTAAAGCTACAAGTGGGAAAATCCCTAAGCCCAAATTAACAAGTACACTAGTTAATATTTTACTTTTCTTGAGGAAAGGGAAAAATCCTAACGTTCAATCAACCACTACACTCTGCCAGGTGCTGTAAGTACATTATGTCATCAAACCCTGTGAAGCAGATATTACTGCCATTTTATAGCTAACCAGACTAAGACAAAGGAGAGTTGGTCACTAAGAAACTTGCCACGTTCAAACAATAAGCGTCCACTCAGGAGTGGAATCAAGGTCTTCCTGACTCTAAAAACTCTCTCTTTTCATTAAACTGTAACTTTTTCCATGGCATAAATGAAATAACTTTAAAACAATGAAACCGAGTCTGCCAAGTGGCTCAGTTGGTTAAGAGCGCGAGCTCTGAGCAATAGGGTCGCCAGTTCGATTCTCACCTGGGCCAGTGAGCTGCACCCAAGCTGAGCTGCCAACAGGTGGCAGGATGGCTCAGCTGGTGAGAGCACATGCTCCTAACAAGGTTGCAGGTTCGACTCCTGCATGGGATGGTGGGCTGCACCCCCCCGCAACTTAGATTGAACACGGCACCTTGAACTGAGCAGTCACAAGCTGCTAAGAGATGGCCATATGGCAACTAGACTTGGAGCTGAGCTAGCTGTGCCCTCCACAACTAAGATTGAAGGACAACAACTTGGCTGCTCCCCTTCCCCTATTTCCCAACACTATTCCCCTCCCCTAATTCACCAATAAAATCTTTTAAAAAATAAAAAACCAAAAAACAATGAAACCCATATTCTTGGTAATATATTATTTTAAGAGTATGTGTTTGTGTGCATGAGAGACAGAAGAGACAGATTTGATACAAATCTGTTAAAATTACGTTTTCTAAAAAAAAAAAATCACTCTTAAAAAAACCTGAGTTAATCCTTTTCTTCCAACTGAAAAGATATTTTTACTGTCTTAAGAAACTTTAATAACTATACTTTGCAACTCAGATTTAAATAAAAAATTTTTAATTAAAAATATTTTTATTGGGGCTGGCCGAGTGGCGCATTTGTTAAGAACTGGCTTGGGATGCCAGAGGGCCCCAGTTCGGATCCCACATATGAGGGCCAGTGACACTGCCCTCTACAGCTAAGATGCTGAACAACANTGATTAAATTCAGCTGGTCTAAAGTGTCATTTAAGGCCACTGTTCCATGTTGATTTTCTGTCTTGAGGATCTGTCCATTGGTGACAACGGGGTGTTGAAGTCCTCTACTACGATAGTGTTACTGTTGATCTCTGTCTTTATGTCCATCAAAATCTGTTTTATATATTTAGGAGCTCCTATGTTGGCAGCATAGATGTTTACAAGGGTTATGTCATCTTGTTGACGTGATCCTTTTATTACTATGTAGTGCCCTTGTCTTTTATTGTAGTTTACATTTTAAAGTCTATTTTGTCTGAAGTATTGCTACTCCAGCTTTTTTCTCATTTCCATTTGTGTGAAATATCTTATTTCATCCCTTTATTTTCAGTCTGTGTGTGTCTTTTGATCTGAGATAAGTCTCTTGTAAACAGCATATGGATGGGTCCTGTTTTCTTATCCACTCAGCCACTCTATGTCTTTTGACTGGTGCATTTAGCCCATTCACATTTGAAGTGATTATGGATAGGTGCACATTTATTGCCATTCTGTTATTTGTATTTCTGGTCTTCCTGGGTTAGCTTGTTTTCTCCTTTCTTCTGTTTAAAAAAGCCCTTTTAGCATTTCCTGCAATGCTGGCTTGGTGGTAATGGATTATTTTAGCTTATTCTTTCCTGAGAAGCTCTTCATCTCTCCTTCAATTTTAAGTGATAGCCATGCTGGGTAGAGCAATCCTGGTTGTAGGCCTTTATTTTGTATCACTTTGAATATTTCCTGCCACTCCCTTTTGGCCTGCAGAGTTTCTGTAGAAAAGTCAGCTGTTAGTCTTATAGGAGTTCCTTTGTATGTAACTTGCTGTCTTTCTCTTGCTGCTTTTAGGATTCTGTCTTTGTCTTTAACCTTTGCCATTTTAACTATGATGTATCTTGGTGTTGACCTGTTTGGGTTCAGCTTGTTTGGAACTCTCTGCATTTCCTGGGCTTGTATGTCGATTTCCTTCACAAGGGTGGGGAAGTTCTCAGTCATTATTTCTTCAAATACATTCTCAATCCCTTGCTTCTTCNTCAATTATAGTTGACATACAATATTATGCAACATCAGCTTCAGGTGTACAGTGCAGTGATCAAGCCTCTACCCCATCCATGAAGTGGTCTCCCTAACAAGACATGTGACCATCTGACACCCTACAAAATATTTACAACATTATTATAGTCCCTGAACTGTCTTTCATATCCCTGTGGCAATATTATAGTTACCTGTTTATGCTGTCTAATCCCTTCCCCTTCACCCTCATCCCCACCCCTCTCCCAACTAGCAACTATCAGTTTTTCCTCTATATCTCTGAGACCACTTCTGTTTACTTTCCTCGTTCATTCAGTTTTTTAGATTCCACATATAAGTGAGATCATATGGTATTTGTCTTTCTCCGACTGACTTATTTCACTTAATGTAATAGTCTCTAGGTCCATCCATATTGTTGCAAATGGTAAAATTTCATTCTTCTTTATAGCGGAGTAATACTCCATTGTATAAATGTACCACAGTTTCTTAATCTAGATGTCTACAGATGGGCATTTTGGTTGTTTCCAAGTCTTGGCTAATGTAAACAGTGCTGCTATAAACATAGGGGCGCATATATTTTTTCAAATTAGCGTCTTGGGTTTCTCTGGATAGATACCCAAGAGTGGAATTGCTGGGTCATAAGGTAGTTCCATTTTCAGTTTTTTGAGATACCTGCATACTGATTTTCATACTGGCTGTACCAATCTGCAGCCCACCAACAGTGCACCAGGGTTCCCTTTTCTCCATAAACTTGCCAGCATTTGTTGTTTGTTGATTTATTGATGATAGCCATTCTGACAGGACTGAGGTGGTATCTCATTGTGGTTTATATTTGCATTTCTCTAATAATAAGTAAGGCTGAACATTTTTTCATATGCCTGTTGGCCATCTGTATGTCCTCTTTAGAGAAATGCCTCTTCATATCCGCTGCCCATTTTTTAATTGGGTCGTTAGTTTTTTTGGTGTTGAGTTGAATGAATGTTTTATAAATTTCAGGTATTAACTCCTTATCAGATATATCGTTGGCAAATACCTTCTCCCATTCAGTAAGTAGGTTGCCTTTTTGTTTTGATGATTTCCTTTGCTGTGAAAAAACTTTTAAGTTTTATGTAATCCCATATGTTTATTTTTTCTTTTATTTCCCTTGCCTGAGGGGATATATCAGTAAAAATATTACTGAAGGTAATGTCTGCAAATTTACTCACAATGTTTTCTTCTAGGAGTTTTATGGTTTCAGGACTTATATTTAAGTCTTTAATCCATTTTTAATTTGTTCTCATATATGGTTTAAGTAGGTGGTCCATTTTCAATTTTTGCACGTGTCAGTCCAATTTTCCCGGCACCATTTATTAAGGAGACTATCTTTATTTCAATGTAAATTTTTGCTTCTATTGTCATAGATTAAATGACCGTACATAGATGGGTTTATTTCTGGGCTCGCTAGTCTATTCTCCATTGATCTATGTGTCTGTTTTTATGCCAGTACCATACTGTTTTGATTACTGTAGCCTTGTAGTATGATTTGATGTCGGGTAGCGTGATACCGCTCACTTTGTTCTTATTTCTCAAGATTGCTGTGGCTATTCGGGGTCTTTTCTGGCTCCATATAAATTTTAGGATTATATGTCTGATTTCTGAGAAAAATGTCCTTGGTAGTTTGATAGGAATTGCATTGAATCTATATATTGCCTTAGGTAGTATTGACATTTTAACTATATTATCTTCCTATCCATGAACATGGTATGTATTTCCATTTATTTGTATCTTCTTTGATTTCTCCCTTCAGTATCTTATAACTTTCTTTACTTCTTTGGTTAAATTTATTCCTAGATATTTTATTGTTTTCGAAGCAAATGTAAAAGGGATTGATTTCCTGATTTCTTCTTCTGATAATTTATTATTGGTGTATACAAATACAACAGATTCCTGAATATTAATTTTGTATCCTGCTACCTTACTAAATTTATTTATCAGTTCTAACAGTTTTTTAGTGGAGTCTTGGGGATTCTCTCTATATAATACAATGTCATCTGCATATAATGACAGTTTTACTTCCTCCTTTCCAATTTGGATGCCTTTTATTTCATTTTCTTGTCTGACGGCTGTGGCTAGAACTTCCAGAACTATGTTGAATAGAAGTGGTGAAAATGGGCAGCCTTGTCTTGTTCCTGATTTTAAGGGGAAAGCTTTTAGCCTTTCCCCATTGAGTACAATGTTTGCTGTGGGTTTATCATATATGGCCTTTATTATGTTGAGATATGATCCCACTATTCCCACTTTGCTAAGAGTTATCATAAATGGCTGCTGGATTTTGTCAAATACTTTTCCTGCATCTATTGATATAATCATATAATTTTTATTTTTTATTTTGTGAATGTGATGTATTACATTAATTGATTTGCAGATACTGAACCAACCTTGCATACCAGGAATGAATCCCGCTTGATCGTGCTGTATGATCTTTTTAATGTGATGCTAAATTCGGTTTGCTAGTATTTTGTTGAGGATTTTTTCATCTATGTTCATTAGGAATAGCGGCCTGTAGTTTTCTTTTTTTGTAATATCGTTGTCTGAATTTGGGATCAGAGTAATAGTGGCCTCATAAAATGTGCTTGGGGAGCCTTCCTTCTTTCTGTATTTTTTTGGAATAGTTTGAGGAGAATAGGTATTAATTCTTTTTTGAATGTTTTGCAAAATTCACCTGTGAAGCCATCTTGTCCAGGACTTTTGTTTGTTTGGAAGCTTGTTGATTACTAATTCAATTTATTTGGTAGTAATCAGTCTGTTCAAAGTTTCTGTTTCTTCTTGGTTCAGACTTGGTAGATTGTATGCTTCTAAAAATTTATCCATTTCTTCCAGACTGTCGAATTTGTTGGCATATAGTTGCTCGTAGTATTTTCTTACAATTATCTGTATTTCTGCAGTATCTGTTGTCACTTCTCCTCTTTCATTTCTGATTTTATTAATTTGGGTCCTCTCTCTCTTTTTCTTGGTGAGTCTGGTTAAGGGTTTGTCAATTTTGTTTATCTTTTCAAAAAAACAGCTCTTGGTTTCATTGATCTTTTGTATTGTTTTTTTGGTCTCTATTTCGTTCATTTCTGCTGTGGTCTTTATTATTTCCTTCCTTGTACTCTCTTTGGGCTTGTTTTGCTATTCTTTTTTCAGTTCCCTTAGGTATAAAGATAGTGTGTTGATTTGAGATTGTTCTTGTTTCTTTAGAAAGGCCTGCATTGCTATGAATTTCCCTCTTAGGACTGTTTTTGCTGCATCCCATAGATTTGGGGTGGTTGTGTTTTCATTTTCGTTTGTCTTAGATAGCTTTTGATTTCTTCCTTGATCTCATTTTTGACCCACTCACTATTTAGTAGCATGTTATTCAGCCTCCATGTATTTGTATGCTTTCCGGATTTCTTCTTATAATTGATTTCTAGTTTCATAGCATTGCGGTCAGAGAAGATGCTTGATACGATTTCAATCTTCATACATTTACTTAGACTTGTTTTGTGGCCTAACATTTGGTCTATCTTGGAAAATGTTCCATGTGCACTTGAGAAGAATGTATATTCTGTTGCTTTGGGGTGAAATGCTCTAAAAATANGAGAGAGAGAGAGAGAGAGAGAGAGAGAATGAATACACAGCACTCAGAAGAGCCAAATGCTACCTCTTTGGAACATGGAATGCTGCTGTGATCTTTTTCCATGATTAGCCATCTGAGAACATTTGTAATAGAGGGACTTTTCCATGTTGGCCAAGGATTAACAAATCTCCCATCCTTTCCTTTCTTTGATTTAGTTACATCTTCCTCTAGTCTGTAATCCAGTTTGAAACTTTTCCTGGAAAACCTAGAAGAATCACTTCCTCCAGAATTCCGTGCTGAATTTGGGCGTTTTCTTACTGCTTCTTTAGGATATTGGCTGCTGGTCATCAGGGACTGGTTGCTTTCATTTTCATCCATGTCCTTTGAAGAACTAAATAAAAGGAAGGGGAAACGTACTGAGTTTAGTACATAAAACATATCACACAGTATTATTTCTTAGCCAATAAAAATATCCTCAATCTTATGAAAATAGTCTCTATCAGCTCAAACTTTATCTTCTTGCAAACTACAATTTTAGAATCCAGTTTATTACTACTTGCTATATAGAAAAAATGTTTATTCCTGCCAAACCTTTTAAAAATTTCTTATCTGCTATATTGAAAACAAACTACTCCACCATCAGTCAAACATGAAATTTTCCATTTCAATGACATTTTGTACAACAAATTAAAGCATCATCATGAATCTGTAATATTATATTTTCATACATGAATTTTTAAAATAATGTTGTTAATAACACATAGTAAGAAGGGGTACCTTAGTTCCTTGAGGCTACCTCAGGAATTCAAGTGATTTATACATAACCCTACTAGGCCTAGTCATTTTTACTTTGAAGATAATCTGTTTAGCAATGCTCCTAACAAGTGCATTAAGTCCAAATCCCAGGAAAGGCGATAATAACATTCATTGAGAAGCATTTCAATAATGTAGTTAAGTGGTAGCAATGCAAATTTGAATTAACTCAGATTTAGAACTGCCACGTCAGCACAGTGTGTATCCTAGGTACATGACCTTAGGTAAGTTTCCTACCTCTATGTGCCCGATTTCCTCATCTATAAAATGGAGATGATAATACTACCTGTCTCCAAGGGTTACTGAGAAAATTTATAAAGCTAACACAAAAAAAGCACTTAGAAACATGTGCACGGCATGTATATAACAAATGTAACACACACGAATTCACACTAACAGCTCAACAAATCATAGCTGCTGCTGCTGATCTGGTTATTACTGCTTCCACCACCAGCTTGAACCCAAGGCACTGAACTCCTTGATTCTGAACTATGTATTCAGGACTCCAAACACATAAAAATGATAAATAATGTATTAAGAATATGCATTCATCTGCCATGAATTTCACTTCTTTCCTATTGTGCTAAACAAATATTTGTTTTGTGTCTAGTTTAAATATAATGCATACATTTAATACACTTTATAACCTTAAGAAAATAAGCACAATAACAGAAAGCCAAATATTATTTTTAGGGCAATATTGATGCTTAAATAGAAATATTATCCAGGAGAGGAAAAGAAAGAACACAAACCCCAGGATGAATGCATTCACTGAACCAAAGCTTTTTTTTTTTTTTTCTTCAAACTGTCAGGAGTAAATAGTCTCTGGTCTGGAGAATAATTAGTGTTCAGAAAAGAAACCACAGCTGACAAAAGCTAAAGCACACACTTTAACTAAAGTTAAACTTTAAATTTAAATTAAAGTTAAACAAACGCCATCACTGTTTGTGGGAGAGCCTAGTAGCTAAGAAAGCCTAAGTTTGTATCTTGGGCAACTAAACTTTCTAGTCCTCAATCTTCTCATCTGTTAAATACCTACTTATCTCCTGGGGGTTTCAAATGATTTACAAGTGTAATGGACATAAAGTGCTTGCCATTCACCAAATGTGAATTCTTTTGTCCCTTTCCCTGCCGATTTGTCATATAGTCATTTAAATTCCTTAAATTCTATTAGAAAGCAAAGGATCTGGGTGAGCTATCCCAGTTCTTCTCACTCTACCTGGGTTATAATTAAGTTCATGTTGAGGCCTTTAGAAAAGGCAGAAACAAATTCAGTTAAACCCCACTTCATTTAATAGATGTAAACACACAAGTTTGGAGACTTTATATTATACCCCAAGATAATGTGTCTAATAAATGGAAGAGCTGACTTTATACTACCCCTTGTGATGATAAGCAGCTTATGAGATACATGCATGTCTGCATATATACACATATATTCACATACATATAAATACATATAAGTCTACCAATACATAATAAATTTTGGATTCGTTGTTGTAAACAATCAGAGGATAGGGGAAAAGAGACAAGAGCACTCTGGATCAAAAACCACAAAGCAATGTGAAATGGCTTTTAAACAACATCTAGTCATCTAATGCAGATACGGCATAAGATGCAAGAAAGTCTCGTAAGAGTCAAGATAGTAAAGGTATAAAGGATGGGATCATAAAGGATGGGAATAGATATGGGGCCTGGACTGAGATGTTAAGGAGGTCTGGCTACACTATAGTGTGGACGGAAAAGGGGCCACATGTTAAACCTCACAAGCTCAGGAGACTGAAAATAACCACATAGGACGGCATGAACATAAAAATTCCCAACTAAGGTGGGCCATGGCGGGAAGTCAAATCCTTGGCCTGTAGCTTGACAAAGGTCAATATTTACTTTAAGTGAGTCTGTCTATTGTCTTTTTGCATCTAAGATAACATACCCTTGCAATATCAGAGTAATCTCTTTTTCCAGACCCCCCAGGGGGCACAACCCACCAAACCAGAGCAGGAATCTACAAAATCCCTCAGTGTTATCTTTTTCCCCAAATATTATCTCTATGTGCTATACAATGCTATCAACTATCCTGTACCCACCAATGTAAAAGAAGAGTGTGTCTCTCCATTTTATTTTTTACCCAATCCCAAAGATTTCCCCTTTGCTTTCTCCCACCCCCTTAATCTACAACCAATGGATTTCATGTACCCCTTCTCCTTTGATTCTGATGTATAAAGTAAGTTGCAAAACGGCCATTTTCCAGAGTATTTTCTCAATCCATTGAGACTTTGCTTCCTGGCAATTGTCATCAGTTTGGCTCAAATAAACTCTTACAAGTTTTCTCTTAGGCTGGATGTTTTTCGTTGACAGTACGCAATAAAGAAAAACTGAAGGTGCTTAAAAACGGGCCTATTTAGAGAACACAACTGTGGTAGCAGGATAAAAACAAAAGGGTGTGCCTATGAGCTGGAGCAAGGCAGATAAATAAGAGTGAGTAGGAAACAGAAGAAGCCCAGAACATCCACCAATACTGAAGCACATGTTTCACGTTTTTTGGGGTTTTTTATATTGTTTTTTATGTGTGAAATAAACATTTTTAAAATTAGTTTCAGCTAATGCAGTGCAACAGTTATACTTTTCACCCTTCAAAGTGACAACCCCCCATCTGCCGCCCCACTCCCCCCACCCCATATCATACATATCTATTACAATTCANAATACCAACATGGGCCAGTGAAGCAACGTCCTCCACAACTAGACTGAAGAACCAAAGGACAGCAACTTGTCTGTTCCCCTTCCCCAATTCCCCAATATAAATCTTACCAAAAAAAAAAAAAAAGCAACCTGTTAGCATAGCATAGTATATAGTATAGTATAGAATAGTATAAACTAATTGGTATTGGCACCATATTCTTCAATATCATACAGGTAAAGAGAGCATTATATTTTCAAAGTACTTGCACGTGTCACGTGAACCTCATAACAATCCTAGTGACCTAAACTGTCTTACCCTAACTTTATAGACAAAACAAGGAGTTCCTTGAGGGATTGTGATAGAAAGGTCACACACCTGTGAGGAATCCTGAACCTGAGCCTGGTTCCCTCACTCCTGCTGTCCCACTTTTACCACAGGCCACGCAGCACAGCCTCAATTCTTTGACTGTCCCCTGTTCACTTGTACAGTGGGAACTGCGAAGGACAGTCCCTTTCAACTAATGAAATTCAAAAGGCGTCTGTCTGCCTTCCTCTGAAATTCTCCAGATGTCTCCTCCCCCCAGACTATTGGTGAATGTGATCAACAATAACAATCTGACAAGTCACTGAGCCAAACGTAACAACACAAAGCAATGATAGCACCCCAAAACTGCAGAGCCTTGAACTGGCCACTGCTCTAAAGACCCAACAAAGGCCAGTATCAGGAACAGTCCAGGTAAAGAAACACAGTTCTCTGACCGTGCAACTAAACTGTGTAGCTCTGCTAATGACCCTTTTTTATTTAGACCTGTTCTATTATTTTATACTTTCATCATGTTTCTTCCAAAACACTTTCCTGCATGTATCATATCTTGTCTCTTTCTAAAACACTCATTTGAAGTTGTGTTTTATTAAACTCTAGCCTCCCATGTCTAACAAAAACGATTTACAGAAATTTGATTAAATTCTGAATCAACCCAATGATCTGAAGCAGATATTCTTTACATGGCTCTTAATGTTTTGGTTGGCTTTTTTTTTTCCCCAGAAAAAGTAGAACTCTATCACATTTAGAAGTTGATAAAAGTTCATAAATTTGGCAAAAGGGATTAATTATGGAGTGAGTTAGTTATCTATGAAAACAACTGAAGTCAACATGCATTTGATCTAGTTCTAGGCTTTTATTGAAAACAAGATATAGGTAAGAGATGAATAAAATATAAATTGGAATAAGGCAAAGGTGTCTTCTCTCTCCTTTTATATACCGAATTTAAGTGGCATATATTGAGACCTCCTTTGACATTTTCTTAAAAAAAAAAAAATTCTGTCTTAAAAATAAAAATGCTTGCTTCATTCAAGAATACAGCTCCCACCTCCATCACCCGACCTTCCTTCTCTGCTTTACTATTCTTTAGAGCACTAATCATCTTTTAACACAGCACATAATTAACTTACTTGTTTATTGTCCCTCTCTCCACTACACTTAGGCCCAAGGTGGCCAGGGTGTCTGTCTGCTTTGTTCATGGCTCTGTCTCGAGCACCTACAACAGCATGCCTGACACACAGCATATGCTCGGTAAATACTGGCTAAATGAATGAGTTAATGAGCCAGCTTGGGAGGGTCCATGAACTCCCTAAAATCACAGTAAAAGGCAATGGTTTATGTACATGAGTATGCTTCTCTAAGGTGAGGGTCTAAAGCCTCCATCCGATTTTCAAAAGGGGCCTAAGAATCAAAAGCCTGGCAAGTTTGCAGAGGTTCAACACAGTTTCTAGAATATCTCCAAATTATTACACTGCAGAGATGTATTTCTGCCTTCATGTGGTCTTTGAAATGAAACAAAACTGAAGTCACCATTGCTATCTCTGTATTTTTAGAAGCTGTGGCTCAAAAACCAC